TTTTTTTTTTTAAACAAAACAAAACACCTTAGATTCTCCACTAACCCATTGGCTATACTTTGTGAGAGTAGATGAAACACATCGTGAACAACTACATGGTGCTAGTATGACAACACTGGTCATCTTCCAGTTTCATTCCCTGAACAGTATTGAGTGCCTGTTCATCACCTTTCATGATTTTTAGAGAAATTTTTCTATTTGAATAGTACACTGGACAGAACTACAGTTGTGTAAGTATTTTCTCCAGGCTACTGGAGAAAACAGTACATTGATTTGTTTCCAGCAATTGAATATAAGGACTAAGTGCAAATTATTGCCAGCTGACATTTGTATAATCTGCTTGGTACTTCAACAGTTTGTTTTGGACGTGTGGTGTGGTGACATGAGATGATTTTGATGGTTTTGTGCTGCATGATGCATTCAGGGTTGTTTATTGTATTTGTCTTGTTTATCCCCCTATCTTTACGGATCTGCAAAAATGAAATCAGGAAGAAAAATATTTTATTTTTTTTTGTCAGATAGTAGAACTTCTTCACCTAACAGCTTTTAATTTGACTTGAGGCAGGGAAGAACAAATCTGCTAATTGGTTTCTTGTACTTATTTGAAGCTTTTTTTTTTTTTTTTTGAGAATAAGTATCTTTGAAGTTGAGATTAGTTGCCAAGTCTCCTTGTTATTTTTACTAAAATAGTGCTTAGGTGGTCCATACTGCAATTGGATCCTATTTTCAGTGTGTTAGAAAACTGATAATTTTAAACTAAAATAAACAGGAAGAAAAGTTGCTCTAAAATATTAAAACCAGAAGCTCACAGGAAAATGTTAGTTAAGAATCTCTTAAAGTTTGCTTTCAAAGGCAATTTTCAGTGGTCTGCAGGTTTTAAGAACTTGTGCCTGTTTATCCTTTTGAAATGTCTCTCATGACTGCTTAATTAGACACTGTCAGATTCGAAGTTTTGTGGGATCTGTTGTTTTGCTAATCTGTTTAGTGCCAACTGTTCTATGCATTCAAGTAAAACAGCCTTTTACATTTGGTATTTCTGTTGAATGGCACCTGCTCAAAATTAGCATGTTCCCAACATTTTATACATTTACTTTTGAAATGCTGCTTGTCCCTGCTGTTTCGACAGGCAGCTGGTATTGCCATCTCTATTGCTTCACAGACTTATGCTGTGCACAAAGTAGGCTTTTTTTTGTCTGCTTCTTTAAGCTGGAATATTGGAGCAGGTATGGTTTTTAGTTTGTGCTACTGGCAATGTTTGTTCCTTCAAAATTTGCTATTTAATATTTCTAAGTATTAATATTTCTTCTTTTCACTGATGACATTAATGCATATTTCTAAAAATGTAGCCTTGAAATTTATGCAGTGAAAGACCAGCGTGTCAATCAGCACAGTTAAAGCAGAGCTGGTCTTTATAGTATCGCCAAATGCAAATGGTTAGTTTGAAAAGGCTGGAGAATTCAGAGAGAACTGTGCTTGGAATGGAAAACAAACTGTCACGGAGGTGATGGCTACTGAATTAACTAAATAAGCCTGTTGCAATGACAGAGAAATTCCCTCATAGTGGTGTGAAATCTCATTTGACGCTTGATCTATAGGTGAAAAGTGACTTGAAAGAGTTTACCTTTTTTCCCCTTTTCATTGCATACTTGGTTAGCTCTCATTCCTATCATTTGTGGTGTTCACAAACTAATGCATTTGAAATGACAGATATTCTGCTCTTTTTATAGGAGTATTTGTAGGCAAATAGAATTCTTCATCCTCTGACCTTTTCTAACGTGATCCTGCTGTTTGGAAAAAGCCTGCAAACTGCCCTTTCAGATGTAGGACAAAACTGCGTGTTTGGCTGGAATTGATGTTGGTCAATTCTCTGTGTGCTTATACATGTGAAAGGCATATTAGTAGCTTGTCCTCGTGGAGGAGGACATCTTTTGATAGAAGATAAGGGATGATCCGTTAAAGATTTTTATTTCTATTGTATTGTAAGGTATCACTTCTGTATCACAGTCTTCTAGAAAGTCATTTAAGACTACAGATAACTGCTTTTGTTACAGAGTAGTTCAGTTACTTGGACTTGGGAAAAAACGGATGTTATCTCTGCTCTTTTGACAAAACTATTCACATTCAAGAAACGTGTTTTTTCAGCTCCTGGTTCCCATCATCTCCCTTTTTCTCATACTTTGAGAATTGTCATCCTAAGAAAGGTGGCTGTGACAGGAGCAAGTGAATAGAAGAGGAGAAAAGATGGGGCTGGGGAAGGTTAGAGATGCAAAGTGGAAGGGAAGAGAGAGGTCAGGAGTGTCTTTGACACACTCTTCACTGGTGTCAGGTCCCAGTGTGGCATTTGCCTGCTGTTAGCAGCACCTGATGGATGCTGTGCGTGTTTGCTGTCTCCCCAGGGATGCTGGTATTGTGTTCCTGCCATGGTTTCTCCCCCAGCTCCTTCTGGTGGTTGGCTGTGGTGGTTTATTTTTGGGTCACGTCAGTGCCCCCATGGTTCCACGGTATGTCCTGTCTGTTCCTTCAGGTAGGTCTTCCTAAAAATGAGCAAATGAGAATGCACAACCTCTTGGGACCCCCTGTGCCAGTGCTGGGTGGAGAGCTGGAGGGAGCGCCTGCTTTCTGCTTGCAGCTGACTTGCACGTTTCATGGGCTTTTAGAGACTCCCAGCCCCCCTCTCTCCATGCAATGGGAGGAAATTAATTTAAGATGATACACTATTTTATGTTCTCTTCAACACCCAATACATGGTCAGTTAAGAAATCGTAAAGAATTTACTTCTAGGAGATACAGAAGGAATGGGATAGATTGAAATTTAGCCTGGTGCAGCTTTCAGAGTTAAGAATATTCTTATTTCTCTTTCTGAACATGACGACTATTTCTTGGATGATGTACAGGTTGAGTATAAATTAACGTGTTTACCAGAAGGCAACCAGCCCGCTTGAGAGAGTTCTCTTCCCTTCTTTCCTCTTGTTCCCTACTTCCTGTCTTCCATTCTCCCAAGAACATTTAAATAGAACTAAAAGCTTTGCGTAGGAATACTTGAAATGTTTTTGAGTTGGGCTGTGAGAACCCACTCTACGCTTCTGGCAGATTTTCAGGAAAGCTTAGCCCCATGTTTCTTGGAGCTATTGTGTGTTCTGTTCCAGCAACACAGAAGCTAAACTTGCAGCATCTCTTGGGAACATTGCTTATTAAGAGACAAGAGCAGCAAGCTGGGAGTCTCTTGTGCTTTGGAAAAACAGTGTGCTGAGGGGTCACCGTCCCCAGCTCCCCTTTGGAGCAGATGCAGTAAGCAGGTCATCTCAGCGTCTCTGGCTTCTCTCTTCCATCAGTGTCTGCCGTGCATTCTTCCATAACTTTGCAGTCAAGGATCACTGTGATAAATCAAATAATGAACTACCTTGGGGTAATGTTAAGGTAGGTTGGTGGCCAAAATACCAGTGGAAGCCTCAGGCTAAAGCTAAACATATTAGAAAAATAGTGTTTATTATTGAAGTTGTAAGGCAAATGTTTCATGTGATTAGAACACAGAACAATTATCTTTTGACAGACTAGCAGTGGGTAGTGGATATTATTGTAAAGCTAGGCAGTCTTAGTTTGATATCTTGTTTCTGTTTCTTTTGTTTTGGATTTTGTGTGGATAGGTTTTTTTTTTTTTTTTGTACCTGTCTGTATCAGCTAGACACACAATTCTTCAGAAAACAAATGCAATTTCTATATAATATTTTGCAGATCTGGCTTTAAGAGTACTGGAGTTGCAGTGCTATGGATTGTATCTATTGCAGTTTAATTTGTTTTGGTGTTAAAGAACTGTTCTAATGCAGGTAGCAGATCAGAGAGCTCTAGACTTATACATCTGGTATTTAATCCTTATCTCCGTTGATGCTGGGGGTAATCCATCGATTTGATTGATGTAGGTTTTATCGTAAGTCAGAAATCAAGCTTCTATTTCTTGCCTTTCACATATAATGTCATATATTTTTGTCCATTAAAAAAAGTTGAACGGTCAACTTCTTTGAGGTTTCTCTCCAGTCCACACTCTTCAATGGTTGCTTTGCTCATTTTCTACTTGCTGGCCTAGAGGAAGCTCCGTTTAGAGCTATTTGTGAAGTTGCATATATATTGTTTTCTTCAAAAAAAAGTCTTTGGGGGTAAGTCAAGGCTGTGTATGAAAAGAGTTTGCCCTTAGAAGTCTGGATGGCTAAATTTGTTATCTGATTTGAAGGGGGGGGTAGAGGGAAGCACTTTTTCTAAGTAATGGGAATAATGTGAAAGAATATTCAGACTTGACGGATGAATAGGTCAACTGGAGAGAGCTGTTCAGAGAGCTAGAGTAGTTGCATGTGAAATTAGGGTCTTAGACTTTGGTCTGAGGTTTTTAACTTTCCTAATATAAGTACAATTATTATCTTAAAATACAAATTAATTCCTTCAGCTTGGTTTCCCAAGGATATTCAGTTTCTAAAATCAATTGTTTCTTTCTCCCTCAGTAGCTTTTTAACCCTGATGAGCAGTTCCAACAAAATTTTACTGAAGTGTAACAATTTCAAAGACAATTGGATATGTTTTGTGGCTATCAGCAGGCTAAGGAACAAATCCCAGATTTACTTACCAGCTAAGACAGGGAGGCCTCTGCTGCTGCTCTTTGCTTTTGTTGGCATCTGAACAAACATCAAGATTTGTGTATTGGCTGACCTGTTGGCATGTGTGTAGTTGAAAATTAATGAAGTACACTGGTAGCTCCACAGTAGCATAGCACTTGCCAACTTTTGCCTCATGGTATCCTTAACAGAAGACTTCAAGGAAACACAGGTTACTGTGGTGGGCACTGAAAGGTGAGCAGCAGGGACGTTTTTGGGAAACCATGCTTTGTTGAGTTTTATTGCTTACAGAACTGACTTCTGATATGGAAAAGAATTTTGGATTCCCAGTAGAAGTGCTTAATCCTATTTTCTTTATGTGTTTCTTTATGCTTATTTATGAGTGTACTTTTTTTGCAGTGGTGTGATGAAAGATTCGACTTCCAAGCTACATTTTTACAGTGCTTGGCAAAACATGTGCCAAATATTTACTCAGCTGAGATGGACCCCTTGCTGGAGAAACAAGAAGAAATGGTTCAGGCAGCAATACTTTACCCCCTGGAACGTTATTTGTTTGGGGAAGACCCAGAGACATTTCTAGAGAAACTACAACAGAGTGGAACATCACAGCTCTGTGGAAAGGTGTTCAAAGGAGGGGAGACAACATACTCTTGCAGGTAAGAATTGAAGGTATGTTATTATGAATGCTTTCTTGTGAGGTAATGAAGCAAGTGGATTTAATAAAATTAGTTGCTCTGCTAACTAATTGTTGCCTGTATCATGGTAGGTCTTTATTTTTCTGAAGCAAATACCACCATCAGTTTTCAAATCAGTGGAAAAAGCAAGCAAAACTATGTGTAAAAGCAGGCTCCAGCAGAGGAAACGAGAAAGGAAATGGAAAGGATGCTAATGATACTGAAAGCCATTGATTAGAAAGATTGAATGATGGGGTCTGATAGGGGTCTGTACCTGGGACTGAAGGATAACAGTCCCTTTTTTATTTTTTTTATTTTTTATATTTGCCTGCATTGGAATCCAGCATTTCTGAGCATCCTCAGTCCTCTGCACAAGCAGTATCTGTGTAAACAATGGTAATTTCTCTCCTTGGTTCTCACTCTGGATTATGTTAAAAATGGCAACATACTGATTTGGTATTATTTTATTCATTTATATGTCAGAGATCTTTGTGATGGATTTGAAGTTTGCAACTATTCTGGCTGTTCATTAGTCTTACTATGATGCAACTGTCATAGTTTGTAGTTTGCGTTTTATTTTCTGCCTAGAAAATTGCAGCAGAAATGCCAGAAGAGTATCAATAAGGGTGAAGAATATTGATATGAAAAATAAAAAATAAAAATTAAAAGACAAAATGAAACTCCAGCCATTAGAATTTAGGAAATGTCAAAAAGAAAGCTCTCTGTAAAAATAATTTGTGAATTATACTGTTGGGTTTTAATCAGTCACGTACTATTATGCTTTTTCTATAAATAAGTTAGGCTTGTGCATGAAAGGAAAGTAGTCTTTGAGTAAGTTCTCATGTATTTGCTAGATGTGTACACTTAATTGGGAAATGGATTGTCGGACAGCACAAGAAGGACGGGAAAGTATTAGAATGAGTCCAGAGGAGGACCACAATGATGATCAAGGGGCTGGTGCACCTCTACTGCAAAGACAGGCTGAGGGATTTGAGCTAAGGGATCAACCCAGAGAAGAGAAGGCTCTGGGGAGACTATAGCAAACTTTTGGGGCCTAAAGAGGGTCTGCAGGAAAGCTGGGGAGGGACTCTTTGTCGGGGGTGTTGTGATAGGACAAGGGGAAATGGCTTTAAACTAAGAGAGGATAGGTTTAGGTTAGATATAAGGGTGGATACCATGAGGATAGTGAAACGCTGGAACAGATTGCCCAGAGAAGCTGTGAATGCCCTGTTCCTGGAAGACCAGGCTGGATGGGGCTTTGGGCAACCTGGTCTGGTGGGAGGTGTCCCTGCCTGTGGCAGAGGGGTTGAAATGAGGTGATCTTTAAGGTCCCTTCCAACCCAAACCATTCTGTGATTGTTTGATTTTTCTGAAGGAGAAGGATGGTCAAGGCATCTGTTTAGTATTGCTGAAGCAGAAATAATCCTGTTAGTACCTGTGCAGGGCTCTTGGATGACAAAAGGCAAAGTGACAAAGATGTATCTCTCAGGGGTTCTCTCTTTTTTCACTTCCTGTCTTGCAACAGTGTGGTAGTACTTATATGAGGTACTGTACTTAGTACTGCAACTGAAATATGTTTACTTTACGCTTCTAAAATGCTAAAAATAATATGCTCTGAAATATTAAAATCTGAATGTATAGAATTGGACGTTCAAATACAGAAGGCATTTCTGGCTTAATTTTTATGTCTTTTAACTCACATTGCAGTTGGTTTACAGTAATGAATGGTAGTGAACCATTAAACTGTTGTAGTGAAGATTATCACCTGAAGGTTAGAGAGGAAATTCATTCTGTAATCAGAATTATACTATTTTAGTTGTAAGGAAGGCTTGAACTAGATAGTGAAGAATGGCATTATTATCAAACACCTATCATTCATATTTTGCTTAGAATGACACAGCATTTAAAGAAATTGTGATCATGTTTGAGGGTGAAAAAAGCAATATAAAGCTGACATGCATATGGAGCACAGAAAAAATTAGATTGCATACATGAATTATAATTCTGTTTTTTGTTTTTTTTTTTAGGTATAAGTGCTTCACTGAAACTGTTAAAATTAAATTTTAAAGTATATATTCTTCAATTCAAATTGTAAAGGAATCCTACTTAGATATTAACTCGTAACTGTTTATAAAAAGTTTCAGACCTAACCTGGCAGAAGTGTAGCATAGCAAACCAGCTACAATTGTTGGAAACCATAGTAAAGGGAACTTGAGTCAGTCTCATTTTTTTAAATAGCTGTTCATTCCTAGTGAAGATATATATGTTAACAAGTTTTTGAAAGTGGAAATAAAGCATATTTCTAATGGAATTTGAAATAACAGGTATTTGGTTCAAGCCTACCTGGCTTTCATACTTCTGTGATGTGGAATAGCCAATGTTTTTTGAATTTGAATCTGTTGTTAATCTCAGTTTTCAGAATAACATTTTCTTTTGTGCACAGGAATTGCGTGTTTGTTTTAGAAAGTTTTCCAATTACCTTTCTTGTTGCAGAGATTGTGCAGTTGATCCAACTTGTGTACTCTGTATGGACTGCTTTCAGAACAGCATTCACAAGAACCACCGGTACAAGGTAGGAATATCTTAAGAAATTTTACTCATAGATTTAGAGAAGATTTTACTTGAAGATACAGGAAATTGCATATAAACTAATGATTTTCATTCAAAAAAAAAAAACAAAAAACGAATTTACTGATCAGTTCAATCTTTCTCACATTTCTAACTACCTAAAGCCTCTTTAAAGAACAGTACGTTTATAAGTTAAGAAAATCAAAGGGTAGAAAGTGTTTATGAATGTGTATGTTTTTCTTCTCTTTGGCAATATCACATAGTATATGCCAGAGCAAAAAGCTGTGACTGAAAATGACAGTCCTATTGCAAGTCCCTTTCAGTACTGTGTATACAAGAGTACATTCTGTTTGGAAGTTTAGAATGTGTGTGTATGTACAGAGACCACTATTTCATTGCTTCTGTCAGTGATGCACTCTCCATGTTTCCACTGTTTCTCTGTTTCAGTACCCATAAACTACTTTGGGCTTAGAGCATGGACTACAGAAGTTAAAAGGAATGTTAAGCATAAGATTTTTAAGGAGTTTGTTGTGGAACTTGGTCATCTCTTTCTGATATCCTCTTGATTCTGTTTGCGACAAATACATGTTATCTTTGAGAAAGTCCCATGCTTTAACTACAGAAAGATCTTTTAAATAATTCTTCGCTAAGTCTCTGCCTAAGCTGTCATCTACTATTTACTTTGAAGGCCCCTTGTTTGTTTGCCCTCCACACTGATACCTCTAATTTTAATAGTGTTGGAAGCAGAAATAGAGAACAGCAGTGTCATTTTTAAAGCTGGTCTAACTCTGCTGCAAGGAGTGAGGAAAATGGTCAGAAACATTATGTATTCAATTATCCTTCACCACTGAAAAGTGGGCTAGATTTTTTTGCATTTTTTCATTTTATTAATTGACATTGTTTCAGAGATTTGCCCTACTTGAACTGCTAATTGGTCATAAATCCCCTTTAAGCAGATATTTTTCAGTGAGAGTTTGGAAGAACATCCCAGCAATTCCAAAATTATTGGGGAAGAAAAAATATTCTGCCTCTCTGTATAAGTCTACTGATCTGAAAATGTGTTGTAAATATGTATTCAAAGATGTACAAAGCTGCCTTGCATATGCAAAACTTCCATATACCTGTGTGCACACTCACAGTTTATGGAGGAATAAGATGGTAACTCAGAACAACAGCCAATAATGATGACAGAGCAATTTGGAATCACTGCTGAGTTGAGATGCCAGTTTGGTATCCTGTTGTCTTTTCCATATTTTTCAGTAACTTAAGACTGTTTCCTTCAGGCAAAACAGCAGCCTGGAAGTAGTAGCAGTTGTGCTGCATTTTCATTTTAAAGATATGATCTAAAGAATGTGGATTGTATTCTTCAAGTGTTTATAGAATAATTTAGGTTGGAAGGGACCTAATGAGGTCACCTAGTCAACCTCCCACTTGAAGCTTGTCTAATTAGATCAGGTTATTTTAAAACACATCAAGTAAATAATGAATTTTTGAATGTTTTTTATTGGGTCACTTAGTGTTTTTATAATTATTTTAGAATTAGGGTTTTAGAGTAAGCTATGGATAATTATTTTTGCCTGAGTTTCATCTGAACTTTCTGCCAAAATGAAGAGTCAGTATTTCTGCAAGTGTCATTTCTGCAAGGTTAAAGTTGCAAGAATGTATTTAGATACTGATTAGGTCTTGTTTCCTTTGGTTAGGACTAGATGTACTACTAAGCTGTAGTACCCGTTTAATACACATATCCTTGTAAAATTATTTTTTAACTTTTCTGAGCAATTTGTAAAGATGATGTTGAGCATCACCCCTATAATTCTGCTAATAAGCCCAGAAATAATATTTTGCCATTTATGAAATGTTTATTCGTTACTCATGTTTTTTCACCTACCTCTTGTTAAATTTGTTGAAGATGCAATAGCAGCTGTATTTTCCCATTTATTTCCTGTTCAAAACGTTGCTATTTTTTCCCTGCTTCTCTGACAACTTTTCTAGCTTAAAAAAAAATAAATAGTTGTGGTAAGCCTACACATGCACCCTTCTATTTTGTAGGTAGGTATTTATACTTGTGTTTGACATAAATAATACACATTTCTATTGTCTCACTGTTTGTGTACATATTTCATAACTGAAATTTGTGCCTTTTACAGATGCATAGTTCAACTGGGGGTGGATTTTGTGACTGTGGGGATACAGAGGCATGGAAGGCTGGACCAGTGTGTACTAAACATGAGCCTGGAGCATCAGGTTCTCCAAAAGAAGTAAGAATTTTGCTTGAAGTGAAAGAATAAATATTGTAAAAATTAGGAATTCCAGGACTTATACAGGAATAATCTTTTTTCTTTGTATAAAAGCACATATTGTATGATTCATGTGGCAGGTGCGATTGAGTTGAATCAGGATTTCCTTGGTGAGGGTGTTTATTGGGGTAAAACGTACTGTCTCCAAACAAAAAGTAAAAGCAATAGAGCAATTCCAACAGCCTATTTCATCCATTGCTGTCTCTGATTCTGAATCAAAATGTTTTCTTTGGCTATCTGTGCTATTCAGCTATTATGTACAAATAGTTTACTATTGGATAGTTTAGTTACAGTACTTGATTTTGATGATACTTTTTTCCCCACATTACTGTATTACTGAACAGTTTTTTTTTTTCTCATTTACTTCTGGTGAGCTTTCTGTCACTAGGACTGGAAAGTAAGTCTCCGTGGTTTAAAACCAACCTCAAACTAGGATTTCTCATGCTTATTGTACCTCAGAAAGCAGTATGTTAAGAATAAATAACCTATCTTGAAAGCAATTTTCAAAAAGAATGTCAGCAAATATGTTGCTTCAGGTATCTTTTCCTGAGTTTTGCATTCTATTCTGACATGATTAGGAGAAAAAATTAGTTATGATGTGAGGTGTGCATTAGTTGAATACAGATTTAATTAGGATTTTTGTAAGGATGAAAAGTGTTTTCAATTTTACACAGCTTCTTGGCATGTATGCAATATGGCCTCAGAAAAGCAATCCTTTTAAGAGTCATATATTTCCTATTTATTACAAATTATTGTCTTCACTATGCCAGAAATAATAATAATTAACAAACAAACCAACCAAAACAGACAACCAAAAACACTTTAAAACACTTTTTGCTTGAATATATCCTTAAAATAACTCCATTTTGAAAGATTTGTCAGAGATGAGATTTAAAAAAAAAAAACTACTTTTCTAGGCAACTTTGGTTGAGATAATAAATTAGCTGTGAGTTATTTTAAACTTTACTTTTCTGAAACATTAGTTGTTTGTTCTTCCACAAACTTGTTTCTTGAAGTGTACTTGAAGCATGGATTATTATGTGTTTTGGGGGCATAATCTAAGCAAATTCTTTTACCCTTTCAATTTACATTAGAGGTATCTTAATTTCATTTTACTGTGACATTTATTAATAATAGATTTCATTGGAGATGGCATTTCATCAATTAACTGTTCACCTAAGAGAAAAGTATTTAGACAAGGTATTTGCAGTCTTAATTACAAAGATATATCACGAACATATTCAAAACTAGATACACAGTGAGATTTATGGATCAAGATTTCATTGGCAGACCTTTTAGATTATATATTTGACCACAAATTTTTCTTCTAATGCTTAGCAGGTCTGTTTTTCAGACCTTTGGAAGCAGTTGGTCATGTTAATTTATACTTCTCCTCTAGTACATTGCATCATATGGACACAACAGAATTTTACTTGATTTTTTTTTAACAATCATAAATTAGTAGATGTCACTGCATGGTTGATTCAGGAATTTTTCAAGAGTGTTATTCTTAGATATTTCTGGAAGAAACGGAGTTACGCTTCCTCAGATGATTCTGTTCAAGGAGTATCTAGTATTTGGGAGAAAACCAGTAAAAGTAAGCAAAGCACGAAAAATAGTTTTGGATTGCAAACTTCATAATATCATCAGGTGTATAGAAAGCTTTTTATCAGCTTTTTAAGAAAGTGAAGTTTACTAAAACATTTGGTGAGGCCTTTCACAGCCTAGATTAAAAATGAATGAAATGAATGATGAAAACACTTGGAATACTAAGGAAAGCCCTTGGGATGAAATCATTTTAGAAAGAATTTAGGTGAGACAAATTTGCCTGAAAGTCACGAAAAATATTATTTCCTGAGATTTTTCTAGTAATAAGGTATTCTACCAGCCCTTCTTTAACTTTTAAAATTTCTTTTGCATATTAATGTTATCTTCTGTTTTACAGAATTCTGAATGTCAGTTAAATGAAGAAGTTATGGAACACTCTAGGAGGGTGTTTCCCTCCGTGATAAAATACATTGTAGATATGCTTATATGGGAAGAAGAGAAGGAACTGCCTCCGGAGCTCACAATTAGGTAGGGAGCATTTCAAACTTTCTCTCTGAGGTGTTAAAAACTTTGATTTTTTTTTTTGCCTGTTGGGGTTACTACATTCATGCAAACTTATTAGCGCCTAAAACTCTGTAAACAGAGGATTTTTGATGTACAATTGTGTGTGTGATTGTGCTCCATCAAAATAGAAAAAAAGACTGTTTTGTGTCAGGTTAAAATGACAAATGGGATCATAAAATGGCAGAGGGAATAATAATAGAATATTCAGGTAATGTAAATCTCTTTTGTACTTGGTACATGGTTTATGTGGCTTATTCTGGTACAGATGGTAAGGGAGTCTAGGGATGTGTCTTTAACATGAAGAAAAAGCTTGATTTTGTTACAGATTTCCCTTGAGCTTTAAAGTAAGATGTTGCTTATATTGGATAGGATGCTGTTTACATGTCTATTTTCGTTTGTATGATGAAATATTGACTTTTTCCCAGTAGAGAGAAGGTAGACAGCTACTACTGTGTCCTTTTCAATGATGAACATCATTCTTATGATCACGTCATCTATAGCCTTCAAAGGGCACTTGGCTGCGAACTCAGCGAAGCCCAGTTGCATACTACTGCCATAGATAAAGAGGTTAGTGCATTCTGGATGTGTGAAAAGGTCACTTTTTAATTGTTAGGAAGGGCTACTATAATCTTTTGATCATAGAATCTTCCCTTCTGGGACACGGGAGGTTGAGGAAAGACAGTCATGTTGCAGAATAATTGTTAATCAGCACTTGTAGAAGTATGCCTTTCTTTAAGAAAATTTTAAAACTACATTATTTTTTTCTTTTTGAGAAGGGGAAGAGCTGATTTGCCTGAAGTTGCTCCTTTTGTGTTTGGCATATTTTCTTAACACTTACTCTTTTTCTTCTCAGATAAGAGATCTATGTTTTTTAGACAAATACTGTTAAAACATTAAAGACAGTAATATGCATATTCAGTTATATTTATTGAGAACTCTTGAGACTAATGACAGTTTTGCAAGGCTTGGTGTTTTTCCTGGCTCAGACTTTGTGTGAGAATCTTAAAGTTTCAAATTAAGCAAATAAAGCTAGGAAGAATCCATGAAGGAATGTGGGTGAACCTGTCTATTTTACTATTTTGTTTTTTAAACCAATGTCCCATTTAAAAACTTTTATGTAAATATTAAGGTTTATTCACACCTCTAGTGGAAGGTGTCTGTGCCCATGGCAGGGGGGTTGGAATTTGATGATATTTAAGATCCCTTCCAACCCGAACCTTTCTCTGGTTCTTTGCTATTTTTCCTCCTGGGGTGTGGGAGGGAAGCATGTTCAGTGCATGACTTAACTGCAGCTGTATTTTTTTTTAACCTCACAATATGTAATATGTATTTAATATGTATTTAATGTGTATTTACCTATAGAAGGTCTTACTAATATTAGAATCCTTTTTTAGTCTATAAACAATGTTTTCTTTTTATCTGTCTTTGTTCAGGTAATGGAAATTTAGTTGCATTCTATTTGTAGTTGCTTTGTCAGTCCTATGTAGTTACAAGGTTTGTTTTGTAGTTACAAGGTTTGTAAGATATGTACCAGGTATGTAACCATATACGATTTACAGAGAAACTTTAAAAGTTACATTTGATGTTCCTTGAGTTATGAAGGTTTGTTTTGTTTGAAACCTAAAGTTTAGATTGAGTGCTGATCAGACCTCTTACAAAGCATTTGTAAGTACATAGCCATTGGTTGTGGAATTTGATGACTCGGATAGACATTGAGTGGAATTTGAGGACTAAGCTCATGCTGTTCTTGTTTTTATCAAAAGAACTATAAAACCATAATTTTAATATATTGTACTATCCCTTTTACAATAAGAATTAAGAAATAGTAGGAAAGATTGTAGAAAAGCAATTCAGGACTGAGTGTATTTTGTGTTAGGAAGAAAGTTGATCTAGTTTCTACTTAAGGTAATCTGTGGAAATCCATATTGTCTGTTTTACTCTGTATGTGCGTTTTCGTTATCAAATAGTATCAATATACCAAAACTTTACTTTAGGATGTTCCATTGCTGCTTCAAATAGCTATCTTTAGGGGGAAAAAAAAGCTATGTTAATTTTAATTTGCTTCTAGATGTCTAAAAGCCCTGTAAGTGATGTTGGTCCCAGTTTCTACAAACAATAAAACATACCCAGAATCAGGCTTGTAATGTTGTGGTTCTGTTTTAAATTGTTCTTGTATTCAATATTTTCTTTAAATAGGGTCGGAGAGCTGTTAAAGCAGGACGTTATGCTTCTTGTCAGGAAGCAAAAGAAGAAATCAAGGTAACTTCCTAAAATATTTACTCATTAAAAAAAATAATAAACCTCATCGTTATTACTGTCAAAGACTTGTCTGTTGTACTGTCTTCAAGATAGCATTTTATAGCCTGTGAATTTATTAAAACTGAACTTACCCTACCATGTTTGTTATGGATACATGTCTTCAGAAAAGAAACACGATGATTATTTTTTTTGCTAGAGTTTGCCATTAACTTGTGCTTGGGGGAGGTAATGGATATTGGAGACAAAAATTGAAATTCGTGTTACCTTTATTTTATATCTACTAATTCTTACCTGATTCCTAGAGGCATTCTGAAAATGTTTCTCAACGACCACTTCATGTGGAGGTTCTGCATGCTGATGTTATGGCTCACCAGAAGTTTGCCTTGCGCCTTGGCTCTTGGCTAAATAAACTCATGAGCTATTCAAGTAAGTATAAGTAACTTTGTTACAATGATGCCATGTCAGAATTCTAGTTGAGTAATTTTTTCAAAAATTTCTCTTCAGCACTGTCATATGAGATACCCCCTTATTAAAATACGAGCCTTCCCTTTTCCTCTGGATTTTTTTCATCCCCAGTTTCAGCATCACATGCCCTGTTCTGGTGACTTATAAAACTTATTTTCACCTTACAGGCATGCATAGATTAAGCTCTACTCACTGCTTTGATATGTTAAATCTGGGGGTCTGTTCTAGCCTCTAATGTAATGTTAGATAATAAAGTGAATTTTTATCTTTTCCTGAATACTTTCTTCCTTTTCAGTCTTTCCCTTAAAATGCAGATACCAAAATTGTATTATTTTTTTCTTCTCACAATATATACATATTAAAAATGTTAGCTATTTTCAACTATACATTTATTTCTCTGATTGTTTTGTTGCTGGTTTGAGTTCGCCAACCTGTTCTTTTGATCAGTACAAATTCCTGACTCTGTAATTGTTTATTTCAAGGTGTCTAGTGAAGTACTCTGAAAGCTTCTTATCCACATTTTTCTTCCTAGATAACTTTCCTTAGTTCTGTGAGGTTACTGCATTTAAAATACTAACTGACAGATAGGTGTTGACTCAACAGTATGAGTGTAGACAAGTCAATGTCAGTGCCCCAGCAAATCCTGAGAATTTTATTTTTTTTGCTGATGAAATGAGCTAAAATTGAGAAGGAGTCTTCCATGTTGTTTGCTGCATTTTGGACCAGGAAATTGTTGTAGGTTAAGCGGTGCTTTAATATGTTTTATGTAAGTCTTCCTGTCCTTGCTCTTCCTGTCCTTGCTCTTCTGGATTGTGTATGTAAATGCTTGGAGAACCTGATGTTCTGTACTCAGCTGGAACTTTTTGGTAGTCTGGCTCCTGTTTCTTTCCTGGTTTTGCTTCATGTGGTAGAACAGGGACTGGAAAACATTCTTTACTATTTGTTTCCATGCTGTCAGAATCCTGATTCCTGACACTCCATTACCCTTTCAGAGCTCATTTCCAAACTTCAGTAACACATGGGGACTCTGATGTGTTGATCCAAAAAAGTGCTTCAGCAAATGCTGTATTGACTGATAGGTGAAAAAAGTGCAAAATACTGTCCTGAAATCCTAGGAAAGACTGCATTGCAGGGACTTTGGCCTAGCCTGTGCATTTCTGTGCTGGCATAATGAGAATCTGCTCTGCAAAGTTGTCTAAATGCTTTTTGTTTTAAAATAGTCTTCTTCACTGGATCAATTTAATAAAGTGAGCCAAAATAATAGGAGAAAATCACTAAAGATAGTGTATGTAGGAATATGTCCGCTGAGAGGGCCAGTTAAGAACTAATTTATAATTAAGTGCCTTTTTTCCTCTTTTCCCTTTTTAAGAACAGAATTCCATAATTCTCTTCTTACTGGTTTGTATCAATTATCAAAGCATTCTTGTACAAATGACTCGTTTTATCCCTGTAGGTGACTTTCGACAGATATTTTGTCAAATATGTCTCAAAGAAGAAACTGGATCTGGAAAGCCGTGTTCCATAAGCAAGTTGATGCTTTGGGATGCAAAACTTCATAAAGGTTTGTGTATCCATGTTCCTATAAGCTGAAGAGGCAAACTCATCTTTTATGTATTAAGCCATTGTGTAAAACTAAGCGTTATGCATGTGGTGCTACTTTTCTTTACAGTTTTCATAATATGCTTTTTGATACTGCCTTTATTTTCAAGGCTGAGATAATTGATATTTTGGGTACTTACTTGCCTTCTAAATTTTTCCTGCTTTATGTATTTTGAACAATCTTTTACAAAATGTAGTTTAAATATGAGTGACTTGATGCATGATGTATTATAAATAGATACCTTTAAGTGTTAAGAGTAAAAGACATGATATGAATGACTTTGCCCGTATACTTCATAACTATTTCAAGGCTTTTAATGATTTCTAATTACTGTTCCCTCAATCAGTTTGTCCTTTCCACAAAAAGCTACTTTTTTTTTTAATAATAAAGTGAAGTAAGGTATATTGGTTCTTTACAGGGGCAAGGAAGGTTCTTCATGAACTTATCTTCAGTAGTTTTTTCATGGAAATGGAATACAAAAAACATTTTGCTGTGGAGTTTGTAAAGGTAAAATGTTGTTCGCTTCTTATGCTATGAGTTTTTATTAGATTTGTAAAATTTCCCCAAAACCTAATAATTACTTCAATAAAAATAAGTTATGAACAAGCAGAGCTTCAACTACTAGTTCAGTGTTGAAGTGTATTAAGTCCTGTGTCATTAGTTTGTTGCTTATGATCATGCAAGTATAGATGCATATTATGAATGCAGTATTGTTAGTGTTATCTGTATAGTTTGAACTAGCAGTTATAGTGCAACTGATCAGTCTTTTTATAAAATAGATGCAACAGTTAAGAGAGACAGAATATAAGACCATTTTTTTTTATTGTTATGAGTTTTTAATTTTAATGAAGATGACGAACACTTGATGGTTTTCCCTGGACTGAAACAGAATAAATGAAAACTTGAATTATTCATTGTACACTTCTATAGACAGTTGTTGAGTAACTGTCAATGCAGTTCACTAGAAAAGGAGGAAGACTTGGTTTATAGTAATTCAATGTCTTCATTGATCCTTTTTTTCAGATACTTAATTTCTTGGAGAAGATTAGTTGTAGGAGATTAAAAAAAAAAACAAAAAAAAACCTTTGCACTCTGGCAGAGCAGTTAATTTTGTGCTTATCTTCAGTGCTAAGGGCACATGTTGAATATGCTGTTGCATTGAGAACACTGGGGCATTTTTGTTTGAGCTGCTCCTGGTAGAAAAGAAGAAGGACACTTGAAATGTAATTCCTGCAAATAAAAAGTGAAACATTTTAAATTAAACCTGTTTTATTTATTTAACTTCCCAATATTCTCTTTTCCCAGTATTACAAAGCATTGCAGAAAGAATACATCAGCGATGATCATGACAGAGTTCTCTCTGTGACAGCACTCTCAGTTCAGATGTTCACTGTACCTACTCTGGTATGTGCAGCCTGTCTACTCTAGGAATGTAAAGTACATGTCAGAATTGCTAGCAGTGCCACATTTACTGTGATACTATACTTGACAGAGTCTTTATACATTGCTGAGTTGAAAATGAATTATTTTGACTTGTAAGGTCAATATGAAAGCATGAGCCTGAGTTCACGTGAGAATCTATTAGATATCAGAAGATAGAGGGAATGCAAGTAAGTGGAAGTTCTAGGCAGCAATGTTCTTTGTATTAACTTTGTATGTTGAATTTACTGTTCCTGTTAACCTTCTTAAGTAGCATTAAAAACTTTTTTGGTGTCCTAAAATGATTAAATGCCTTTTTGTGTGAGTGAAATATGTTAAGCCCTCTGGGGATAAAAATATCATACCTGTATTTTTAAACGTTTTATGTTTCTTTCAGTCCTTCTCTAAGTGATTTCTCTAGAAAGAACGGTATGTCCATTAGATTGATGCTGTCAAAGCAAATAAAACATGCCAAGTTGATACAAATCATTTTCATACATAAGTAATTACTATAAGAGCTTTTGCAGCTTTTACAAAAATCTTAGTTGACAAATACTGGATTCAAAAGAAAAAAAAAGGCCATTCTTTCCAACAGAAATAGGGAAGAAAAATATTTTAATTCTTGCAGGCCCGCCATCTTATTGAAGAGCAGAGTGTAATTACCACTATTACAGAGACACTCCTAGAAGTCGTTCCAGAGTATCTAGACAAAAATGACAAGTTCAACTTCCAAGGTTACAGCCAGGACAAAATGAACCGGGTATATGCAGTAATATATGACCTAAGGTAAGCATAAAGTCAGGAAGCTTGAATAATTCTTTAAAAAAAAAAAAAAAAAATGGAAGTAGGATGACGTGTTTCAGTTCAGGAATCTGATGATAAAACTGCTTTTTTTTTTTTTTTAAAAAAAAAAAAAGCAAAACCAACCAACCCCCCAATTCCTCTCCCTAGAAAAAAAAAACCACCAACAGTGGAATTCTGAGGTTTTATTTTTAAGTGGAAAGCTGAACATTTTTAAATACTAAAACTATATTTTGTATAGACAGTTCTTTTATGATTTTCACTGATATCATTTCAAATAACAATTCTGCTAACAAAATGCATCTACTGTAAGACAGTATGGGAAACTTGGCTTCTATTCACTATCATTCTGGGAAAGTATAGGTATATTCTGTGTATATTCTTCATCTGCATGGTGCTCTCCAGCCTTAAAGGTCCTAAGTTACTCTTGCTCAATGAACTGAATGACATAAAAGCAAAACATCCGAAATACCTTGGACTTCAGAGTCTGTTAATTTGAAATAATGGAGTTGGACCAAGCACCTCTAGTATTTGGTGAAAACTAAAGGAAGAGTTTGAGGTGGGGAGAGTGATGTAATTTGATGGTGTTGAATATATTAATACAATTAATACTTTGAATTCAAAAATAAGCAGAAGAGAAATCTGAGCAAAAGAAGATAATGTTTTCTTTGGGGACAGGTATGTCTTAATCAGCAAACCTACAGTATGGACAGACCGTCTGAGGGAGCGATTTTTAGAAGGATTTGTTTCTTTCCTAAGGATTTTAACTTGCATGCAGGTACAAAAATTTACATAATATCTTTTTAATTTGCTGTTATAAAGATACCACAATGCTTTTGTTTACTCATCTTTTTGTCCATAGCAATATTGTGGATGTAAACATATGATTAAGATAATAAACTCTTGGGTGGGTGAAAAAGTAATGTTTACTTTATAGAAGTAATGTTCATTAAATTTAGGTACATCTGAACAATCTGTATTTTACCATTTGCTTATGGGATTTTCTGTTGTTTTTAAGCCTGTGATCAGTGATCTAGCTTGAGTATTTTGTGGCATCTCTATTTCAGGGAATGGAGGAGATAAAAAGACAGATTGGTCAGCACATAGAGGTGGACCCTGACTGGGAAGCAGCCATTTCTATACAGATGCAGCTAAAGAACATTCTCTTGATGTTCCAAGAATGGTGTGCCTGTGATGTAAGCAAACGGGTTATCTGGGGTTCTTACACACATGCCTTTTATGAATATTACCGAGGAGTTTTTAAGTAGTAGTTTTTTAAAGAAGCTCAGTGTTGTACAATACAGGCTTCCACAAAAAAAAAAAAAGGCTGAAAGCATTATCTGTGGTATGACACTGAGAAAGGGGATCCCAGGGTATAATCTGGTTGACAAAACTGTAGAGTATCAGACAAATCACAAAGAAGGAAGTACTTCTCATCATTCAATGCTTTGAACATTAGGTTCATAGTGAACTGTCAGTTTGAAAACTTTGAAAGCATATGGTGTTCATTTTTAATTGCTAAAGTGGAAGGCAGAAGCTTTGCAGTAATTGCATGATTACCCTGTAAATTGTCTTACTCAGTACTGGCATTGATCCCTATGCTGTGGGAAAGGAGACTGTGAAAATCATATTTTTAAGCTGTTTTGGGGTGAGTTGCTATTATTTTTAGTATGGAGAGAAAGGAGGAACTACAACTACAATCAGGAATTTATGATGCAGTTTGACTTACAAACTAGGCAAATTGTTAAAATTTTTCAGCTCAAATAAGTGCATAGACATCAGAGTGTTTGACAGAGTAGCTCTTAGAACAGAAGCATATTCTTAGTTAGCTTCAGGTGATGCTCCATTGCTCCAGTCCAGTACTTCTCAGTATTAGGAAACAGTAGTAATTATGGTGTGGATTTGTAGTAACTGTTTGCTCCATCAGAAAAAGACAGGCAAGCAATTTTAGTGCATGTTTCATCATTTTTTAATATAACTCTATGCATGTGTTTTAAATTCTAGGAAGAGCTGTTGCTGAGGGCCTACAAAGAATGTCATAAGGCTGTGATGAGGTGCAGCACAAACAGCAGCCGCTTACGGGAAAAGACAGCATTTCATTTGTGTGGCCATACTCTGGAGAGCAGACCTTACAGAGTGTCTTTAGATCCTGTCAGCATACATTTACCACTGTCTAGGACTCTTGCAGGTAGGTGATGTTTCTTTGTTTTGATAGCTATTTGAATTAGGCTTCTCATCCCCCTCATTTCTTTTTCCTGGAAAGCATTTAAATTAAATGCTTCACAGATCAGTTGCTATCTGACTTTGACATTTTCAGTCAGGTGACCTTATTCCCCAGATATCCCCTAAGGGAAAAATTTTTTGCAAAAAAGCACTTGCTGTGTGGGTTGGAGGATATTTTTTTTACACAGGAGAGAGAAGAAAGCAGACAAGAAGGAATCATTTTATATTCTAATAATATAACATTAGTTTTCTCTAAACTATTTGAATTAATTTCTATTCCTACTTACAATGCCTAAATGAACAGTCATCACTTCTGTATCTCAAATTTATTTTCCAGCCGTATATATTTTAAGCATGTTAAAATGCCCTTTCTAAAAGACATATGTTTGCAGCATTTCAGGACAGATCTCCAGTCAGAATACAAAGGACCACAGCAGTGGGTGATCACCACTTTCTCTACAATACAAACAAAATCATACACTGTTGTTAAGCTGCAGATTTTTTCACATCATTTGCTACCAAGAATGTAGCAAAGATGGTAATCTGTAAAGCCTTGTAGTCTAGAAATTCTGTAGTAACTGACGTTAAGCAATTTAAATGTGAAATTAAAAGCTTGTCAATACTATTTATCTTTTCTGTGTAAATGACTTTAATGAATTCATTAAATGAATACATTTATTCATAAAAAGAATGAATTGTAAGACTAGTAAAAACTGTTGTAATAATGTAATAGATATTCTGTGTTAAAAATATATATATAATAATGGAAGTAACAAATCTTTCCGAAGTAAACTTTAACTTTTTCTTTTAGTTCTCTGAGTTGCAGGCAGTTTAGCTAAGTTTTGGAATTTGTTGGAAGACAAACTTGAATGAATTTGATATATTTTATATTTTTTTCCTATTTGTTTTGTAGGTCTTCATGTGCGATTAAGCAAGACTGGAAGCATATCAAGATTACATGAATTTGTTTCTCCTGTAAGATTTACTTATTTATTCAAATGCTGCTTGTGATTTATACTCTGGGAAGGAGAAAGCTTAAAATCATATTTTAGAACTTTCGTAACAGGTCATTTTGCAACTTGGAACTTGTTATTGTTTAAGACTTACACTTAAAAATCACTGACTGACTTATTTTTCCTTCCTTCTTTCTGTCCATTTTTATTTTACTTCTAGGAAGAATTTCAGGTGGACCTGCTGGTAGAATATCCTTTGAGATGTCTTGTTTTGGTTGCTCAGGTAGCTGCAGAGATGTGGAGAAGGAATGGACTCTCTCTGATAAGCCAGGTACTCTCTAGGTTATACAGTAGTGACTTGGTCCTAATGGTGTATGCAGGTATATCTCAGTATTGTTTTCAATGGTAGTTTCATCCAGTGTAGAAATAGGTCATGGGGGTTACTCCTACGAAAATTTACTAAATAAAATGATTTCTAGATCGGAATTTAGGTAACTTGGTTTTATTTCCAGTTTTATCAATGGCTTTGCCTGCCTGTATTAGAAAACTGTTTTGATCTCTTTTAGTACTGCTTCTGACTTCTGTGAAATGGTAACTTTACTGACGTCTACTATAGACTACTTTCAGATTTGTTAAAGAAATTGTTGTATAAGTACTGTTGCTTACAACAGGAAAACTTAAATATTTAACTATTTAATCTCATATCAAACTTCTGAGTACTATATAGCTTGAAATAACAAACATTTAATAATACTGGTGGGCTTTTTTGTTGTAAGAGTCTACCCATAAGTACTTGTATTGTTCCTCTTTTGACTTCACCATTTTTGTATTTGGCAGATTTTTTTTTTTAAATTTACCTTTCACAGAACCCTTTCGTGAAATCAAAGTAAATATTGGTAGCCCCTTGCAGAATTTGTGTGTCAGAACTGGGGTAGGAGAAAGAAAATAAGATTTTTAATACATAGAAGGCATTAGAATTACGTTGTTTTGGAGTGTGGCTGTGAAAAAGTTAATATGGCATAGATTTTCTCTGAAAAAGTGAAAAATCATTTTTCACTTCTATCAAAGTACATTTGTTCTGAAAGAGACATGGGACTTTCCCTTACCTTAATAAAGATGCTTTACAACTTGAAAAAAGTCTCAAACAGGCATTAAATGGTGCAGATTTGGTAGTGCATTACTTCTCTGCTTAAATTTTGTTTTCTTATTTCTCAGGTGTTTTATTATCAAGATGTTAAATGCAGAGAAGAAATGTATGATAAAGACATCATCATGCTCCAGGTATAATGGTCTGAATCATTTTTTGCCTGACTCATAACATGCTCACGCCTTTAATCTTAATTAAATACGTATTGTTGCAAAATGAAGAATTGTAATGGTAACTGATATTCATATTTGTCTCTTCTTAGATTGGTGCATCTCTTATGGATCCAAATCATTTCCTGTTGCTCATACTACAGAGGTATGAGCTTGCTGATGCTTTCAGAAGGATCAAGCCCACCAAAGATCAGGTAAGTGTCAAGTATATCTGCTGATGAATTTGTTTACTTTGAGTGCATGCAACATCATTAGAAAAAGTAGCTACTGTTGATCACTGCATTTTTTTTGACCACATTAAGTCAGTCAACGCAGGACCTAGCAGTTAAACAAATCACACACAATCACAAAATGATTTGGGTTGGAAGGGGACCTCTGGAGGCCATATAGTTCAATCCCCAAGCTCAAGCAAGGCCACCTGGAGCAGGCTGCCTGGGACCACATCCAGGTGGCTTTTGAAATATTTCCAAGGAGGGAGAATGGGGAAGCCTTATCTCCAAGGATGAAGACTCCACAGCCTCTCTGGGCAACCTGTTCAAGTGCTCACTCACCTGCTCAGTAAAGAAGTGTTTCCTGATGTTGAGACAGAAATTATTTTATATCAGAGGCTTATATGGAGGCTTTCTTACTCAAAATTAGAAAACTGATTTTGCTCTCTTTGGTGTGCTTTGTTCAAAGTAGCAATGCAGTTCAGAGAACAGCACTACTGGCACAGCGTAAGATTGAATAAAAAGACCAGACCAATGCCTGTCCCATCTAGTATGTGCCTTCTCTACATATATTTCGTTAGGTTTTCATTTTTCTTAGTGTTCCACATTCACAAGGTAAACTGGTTACTGATTTCCTTGTTAATGTTTTCGTAGGTCATCTGCTAAAATACAGGCAAATGACTTCTCTACAATATTTATGTGTGTAGTATTTGTGTATTTTTGATGAAACTTGCTTAATTGTTGTGCTACTTTTTGAGGCTTGAATTTCGATATGACCCTTCCTTTGGGATACACTTTTATTTCTTTTCCTGCATGTGAACCTTGCTCTTCAATTGCAGAATAATATCTATATCTTTTATATACCTATAATATCTTTTTCTAACTCATTAAGAGGGAGGGTTCTTCTCACAATATGATGCTTCACTGAAGCAGTACATCTCAATACTAAACTCCCTCACTTACAGGTTTTCCTGTTAGTGTTTTTTATATGATTTCTCTCATTCTTGTAGGAATTGATTAAACAATGTAACGTACTAATAGAAGAGATGCTTCAGATTCTCATCTATGTTGTGGGTAAGTTTGTTTTTTCTCTCTACTCTGGTAGTAATGGATAATCATAGCTTGAAAGAACAAGTTAGATTACTTTAGCATAGAATCTGATATGGAGTGTATACTGGAAAGTGCCTATTCTAAACAGATGGTTTGATAATACAAACATCTGTCAGCTGGAAGCAATACGTTTTACATGGTGAAAAAAGCTAATAAGATAATTTAATAATTTAATAAGGTGGAAAATGAGAAGAGACTCAGCCCATTTTTTTTTTTTTTTTAGGAAGCTAGGTTAAAACAAACAAAAAACAACAAACTTTCTTGTCATCTCTCAGACACTTGGGATAGTTAGTGTATGTTTACATTCCCCAGAATTTGCTTTGTAACTGTCATATATGTGATTCTTTTCCTTTTGATGTACTCTGGTAGGGGAAAGATATGTACCTGGAGTGAGTAATGTGACAAAGGAAGATGTTACCATGAGAGAAATCATTCATCTACTATGTATTGAGCCGATGGCGCATAGTGCAATTACCAAGTCCTTGCCTGAAAATGTGAGTCCTGGGTTGCTACTTTTCTTCCTTACATTTTTCAATTTTTATGTCCTTCTCCTGTTTATCTTCCATATCTTTATATGGAAGTATTACATCTCTGATAAAAAGCTCAGATGTTGGTTTGAGAATTAAAATATAGCATTACAAATGCTGCTACCTTACTGATGTAAAGGTAAACATAGGTAGAAGCATGGTCTCATCTGAAGGGGTTTGTATGGGGATTGTGTGCTTTGATGAAAAGATGGATTGAATAAAAAACAAAACAAAACAAAAAAACAACAAAACAAACTAAACTATACACACCTCTTCGAGATTCAAGAACAAGTTTTAAAATTTTCTTTTTTGGCCCAGTTAGGACTAGGCAGAACAGAATCTAGCTGCCCTGTTTACCATCAATAAAAAACATTATCCTCTAATTTGATCACTTCAACTTGTTCATTGAAAAATGAGGTCATTGAAAAGTCTGTTCAGCTTGTTCATTGAAAAATCATGGCTTTCAAACCCCACCATTCTATTCTAAGTGTTGAAAACTTATGCACAAGGGAGAGGTGTGGTTTAGATTTTATAGTCTGTGCAAGCTTTCAGGGCCAACAATCAATGCCCAAAACAGATTATTTGAAAATATAATACCCTGGATTATAATCAGAAACGAGTAACACATGATCCACATGGACTATTTTTAGGGAGTGAAACCTTTTTTTCCACTCCGTTGAGGTTGGGTAAGGCACTGCTGTGTTTGGGGAGATCAGCTTTGTTATAAATCAAATTTTACACGAGCAGATGAAAGTATTTGTTATCTGTCTTCGGTATTTTCCCTGTAACTTGCGAGTTACGAATATCTGCTTTCTGAGTTACCAAATGGCCAAAATAATTAATGAATTAGAGAATTGTTCTAAATCTGCATGTCTGTTTTTGTTGTTCATAGTATAGTACTGAAGATATTTGAATCATTATATACTTATGCCAAACTAAATTTTTTACCAGGAGAACAATGAAACTGGCTTGGAGAATGTAATTGATAAAGTGGCTACATTCAAGTAAGTTCTTGATATTGTTTTATAAGTACCTTAAGCATGAAATCAGATAGCTCATATGGGCTAAACAAGCTGTACGACATTCTACATTCAGCTAATGTTTTCTGTCTTGAAATATACACGCTTTAAAATATATGTAAGAAAGAAAACTATATGGAATATCTGAAGCTGCTGCTTCTCTCCTTTTATTCCTCTCTTCAAATTCAGTTTGAGGAACCGCAGGAGTTGAGTGATTTCATGTCCTACTGAGAAAACCTTCAAAAGTTCATTTAATTTTAAAGATGGTTGGGAACCTTAACAACTCATTGTACTTCTTGATGATAACCTAATCATTGGTTTAATGTCATTTATTTACTTACATGCTACTTGGTATAGCTACTTGGTATATGCAAAAAAGGAAAACAATTGTGACAGTTAAGAAAAACTAGTTCAAATGTCTGCTTTTTTTGTGTGACAGGAATGTCTTGTAATTTTAATTGTTTTAGTATACCTTATTTGAAATCTTATATTGGTTATGTTTAATCAATGGCACCTATAGGTGTACCTAGAAATTTTGCTGTGGGAATTATATGGAAGGTTCAACATATCCATGTAATATGGAATATAGAATATATGATAGTCAACAGTCTTCAAAAATAAAGACTCAAAACTGTACCCACTCTATGCTCTTTAAGTTAACAAAGTAACTGTCACTATTTCTTTAACTATTAGCATTTTGTCAGAAAATAAATCCTGTTACTGGTTTGTGTACATTCAAAGATGTGGTGAACATATGTTATTAATCTGTATATCATGAAATATTTCTTTTAAGGAAACCAGGAGTGTCTGGCCATGGAGTTTATGAACTGAAAGATGAATGCTTGAAAGACTTCAATATGTTCTTTTATCACTATACTAAGACCCAGCACAGTAAGGTAGGCAGTGTAAGAATTACTCTCAAAGGTAAAAATAGCACATGATTATCACCGTCTAAAGAGTTTTGCTGAATCAAAGGAGTTCATGGAATCTGAAGAAACTGATATAGGAAGGCTAACTTGTATAAAGCTAACTTGAGAACTAAGCTTCTAATGAAGTTAATGTTGATATAAATTCATGTGGTGTGGCTTGTAATATTTTTCCCATGGTGACTTCTGTGTTAACTCCCTTAACTGCTAAGAATAGAATGTGCTGAGAATTGTCCTTGAATTTGAAGAAAGCAAACACTGTTTCTGTAATTTTTTTTAAAGAAGAAAGTATGTGCTGCTGTTTCTTTACTACAAAATAAAATGCAAATTTCAGTATTAAACAGATTTCATACAGGATTCTAGTTGCATGACCAAATATTGACTATGTATCTTGCCACATTTGATAGATTAGCATTTCTAATTTTTTCACTGCATACTCCTGTAGACACGATGATAAAACAATACTACCTTTTCTGTAGGCTGAACATACACAAAAGAAAAGAAGAAAACAAGAAAACAGAGATGAAGGTAAACATTTGAAACTAATGTCTCAACAAACATAATTCAGTAGTGCATGTAGTTTTTTTTATATAAAATGAGCTTTGAGATGTATTGTAACTTGCAATGGATAGCCGAGTTCATACTACATTTGTTGTGATTTGTGGTAATTGTAATTAATTAACACCTGACTTTTTTGTAATATAGGAATTTTTGAAATGTTAGTTTAATTTCCAGTAGACAAATCAATGTGGCATAATAACCATTGATAAATTAAACAATTTAGTCTTTATGGTGAATAAATAGGAGCCATAAGTTATTTTTGTGAGTAATTTCTGTAGCACGGATGTGATACACAGTAGTGTCCTCTAGAGAAGGTTGCTGCAGGAACTAATGCTCGTTACCCGTTATGTAAATAACTTGTGTTTTATAAACCAAAATTTGCTTATTTAAAAGCTGCAAACTTTTACTAACTACATGCTAACTACAAACAAAACTACATTTTTGTTGTAACACGAACATTATTTTCCATTTTATTTTTACCCACTAAAGGCATGAGCATTAGTTGAGTTGATCTGAGGAAGACTTTGTAAACAATTAAGTAAAATAAACAATTTAATAAAAACTATTGACAACTTTTTTTAATCTGAAAAGATAGTTTTTCTCTTCCCAGATTGCCATTTCAGTTGAATATCTTAATTTTTGCATCTCATCCTTGTTTAAGTTTTAACTACTTAGAAAATTTATCTGATGCAAAACACACTTCATGCATGTTAGTGATACACAAATGACAAGAGGCAGTGCAAACTATTAAAGAGTTGCATTTAAAGATTGCTTGTGTAGCTAAGTTTGCATGTGTTTATATAAGAGCTTATTAGAAGTACTTCATTTTACTAAAAGTAAAACCTGACTTAGGCAAACAATTGATTTGAGCATATTCTTATTAATTGAAAAGATCCAATTGTTCTTTCACTGGTAGTAGTATGCTTCCTGTATCTTTTTGCTTGAACCTTTGAGATGCCAGTACATTTATTAATATATTTACATACCCACATTTTCTAGCATTGCCACCACCTCCTCCCCCAGACTTCTGTCCTGCGTTCAGTAATGTGGTGAGGCTTTTGAACTGTGACGTTATGATGCACATACTGCGGACCATCCTTCAGAGAGCAGTAGAACTCGAAACCCACTTGTGGACTGAAGCTATGATCCAAATGGTATGGTTAACTTTATTTTTCCCATGATAATTACACTAAAAGCTTGTGATCAAAATATCCAGAGATTAACTTGGAAATATAAGAAATGACTTTTTGATCCCCAAACTTGTTTTTATAGATGTTTATAGGTTTGTATGAATCAGTAAAATAAGATTCATGTTTTAATAATATGTGCAAAGTTTATTGTAGTGCAAGAAGTACACAAGACAGTTTATTACACTCTGTTGTTATATGTCCTTTCATGTATGACCTTTGCACTTATTCTTGTTCCTGTGTTTTATCATGGATATAATAAGTCTGTAGTAGAAACTGTATTAAATATCCTTATTTCATGTACTGATTTTCTAGCACTCTAACAATGAATGAGAGCTAACATTTTTATCTTTTTAGGTGCTTCATCTCCTTTCTTTAGGGTTACTGGAAGAGAAGCAGCAGCTACAGAAGTCTCCGGAAGAAGAAGTAACCTTTGATTTTTATCACAAAGCGTCAAGTATGTTTCATTTTCTTTGAAAGAGCAGAGTAAATCAGACTAGCTTGATTTTCTAAGGACAACAGTAAATTAGAAGAAAGTATTTAGCTATTTCAGTCAGAAAGGACTCACTGTTTAGAATTTAAAACTGCTGAAATATTTATTTGAAATAATAGAGAGACCAAGTTTGGAGTAGCTTACTTTGCTCCCATTTGATAGATATATTGAAGAAAAGATGTGTTTCTCTTCTTTTGAAGGAAACAAAAGTAATATGGGTGTTAAGTACCACATGGTGGTTCTTTCACAGAAGTATTGTTAAAATAGAAATTAAGAAAAGAGAGTGGATTGTAGAGAACTGTCTTGATCTTTCAGACACTTGAGCTATGCAGTTATTGATTGACCTGCAAGTTAGTCTTTTGTTAGGGTAGTGATAATAGAAGCAAAACTTAATGGCTATGTGGTGTGCTTTTGTGCTTTTTCTTTTCAAAGTCCTTAGAGAGCATTTCCAAATCTAACATTCAAGTCTAGGGAGTGGGAGTTGGAACATACATTTTCTAAATAGTTTTCCATTATTCATCTTACCTAGTTTCTGCTTCATTGCGTAAGAAACAAAAAATTCCTTTATGAAGACATAATTGTCACTTGAGAGTTGGAACAGAGATAAGAATTGTGAAATATAGCTTCTTGAACTGCCTTTATTTAGTTTTTCAAAAATCTTGTGTAAAGAGGTGTTACTGAGTCTGAAAGAGACTCTCATGTCACTTGTTTGTCACTTTTTTCTTATGGAGCAAGAAGTAGTATCACCAAACCGAACGTATTTCTGTTTTAAAAGCTTCATGATCATTTTAGAAGTAGACTAAAAGTTTTTATATCTAAGTTGTTAGTGAGAAAATTCTTTATGAGTTTTATTTTTGCTTTTGACAACACTTAGAGCCAGTTCTGGTTTCCTATGTGTAAATACCAGACTGTGACTTTGTAGGTTTCTTCTGGACTCGGATCAATGTCCATGGAAGACAGCATGTGCAAGGTTTCAAATGTACAAGGCACTATATTTTAATAATACTGTAATAAATTTATGCCCTGGTAAAAGTAATTTATTAAACATAACCATAAAAAACACAAACACACACACACACACATACATTTCTATAACATATATAGAAGTAATCAGTTTTTTTTGGTAAGAAAGTCCTACCGAAAAGGGTTTAAAAAAAGTTTTTTTTGTTACATTTTTGTCTTACTTCTAAAAATGTGAAACAAGTTCAAATGGAAAGTGCTGCAGAGGAAATCTAATTGAAGAGAATGGTCCAAATTTTAAAGCATGCTTATTTTTAAAAATGGCTAAAAAAATCTTATGAAATGTAACATGCTGTGAAGAAGAAAATTAGCAGAATTGTACTTTTGTGACAGGAATTAGCTTATACATAATGAACTTTTTAGCAGACTAGTGTAAAATACAAGAGCTCCACTAATTCTCTTCAAAACTGAAGGCAATTCTCTTTTTTTTCCCCTATAATTCTACTCTTGGAAATAGGAAAAATTATTAATGTACAATGGAGAAAGATTATATACTACATTTATCTGGAATGAATAGGTGAACTTAAGACAGAACAGTAACTACGGAGATTATGTTCATAAATGTGTGCTATATAATTAGGAATGTTTTAATGCATGCTTATGGTTGTAGACACATTAAGATGTTGTCCTCCCCACCCCCAGCCCCAAATCCATGCATTTATCTTTCTTTGTAAAGGAATGGGAAGCTCAGCTTTGAATGCTGTAAACATATTAATGCTTCTGGAAAAATTAAAGAGAATTCCTCAATTAGAGGCACAGAAGGACATGATCAATTGGATACTGCAGGTATGCAGTGGGGAGACAAGCATGATCTCATTTTGTAATTTAGAAAACTGTTATGAAAGATGTTATAATTCCTGTATATATATAATCTATTAGTATTTGCAGTTGCAGCAGTTTCTTAAGAAGCCTAAACTGTTGAAACCTCATTTGTGTATTTTTATGTATAAACATTATTCCTTATATTTCTGTTGTGAAATACTAGCAGGTGATAAGTAAAAGTTTATAAATCAGGAATACATTTTAGGGGCAGCTTGTATTAAGTTTTTAGTCAATGACCTAACTAATGGCCACATTATACATTTAATCTATGGTATTTTTCCAACTATCTCACTGCCTTTCCCCCCAGTAAGAGATGGGAAAACCTTCTAGAGCAATGACACTGTGTCCAACATAGAAAAGTGGGCTGCTGCTGCTTCTTAGCAGTATCAAGGTCCTTATCCGTTTGCGGCATCAGTGGCCTTAGTTTAGTTGGCAAACACAGAACTCCTGGAAAAAAAGTATAAAAGAAGGTAAAAATCCACAGCAAGAATTCCAAAACTGTACTACTGAAATTGGTGCAAATTTACTACTGAATAGGGTGGCAAATTTAAAAGATCTTGGAGAATTTTTTCTTCTGAAATTCAAAGGGCAAAAGTAAAAATATACTTAACATATACTCTTTTTAATGATATGCAAATTTAGAATATTTAAAATTATCAGAATTTCAAGTTTCTTATTAAAGATAGTTCGAAGAATAGAAAATGAATTTTTTTAGGCTTGGTTTTAACTAATTGGGCATAAGCTAGAAAGCTTTCTGTTCTAGATGTTGATTTATACTGACTGCAGACTATTTCCATGGGATGGCCATGTCTCACCTGCATGAAATAAGCTAGCAGTCTGTCCATTCTGATGTACAGATGTCTTTCTGATGAAAGAGCTTTATTTGTTTAGCAGTATTAGTGCTGGAGAACTCGTAAAGTTGGGAGAATTTTACTTCATGCTGAGCACTACTCTTTGGCTACAGGACTTTTTCATAGTTTAAGAGTATGGCAGTTGATTTCATCCATTTGACAATCTGAAAAAAAATGTAAAATTAAAAATCAGGAGCTCTGCTCTTACCTATAATAAAGTGCAACTTGGTTGTTACTACCTTTTTAACATCTAAGCCTCTCACCCTAGATGTTTGACACGGTGAAGAGAATGAGAGAAAAATCTAGTTTGACAACAGTAGCAGCTACATCAGTCTCAGAAGCTACAAAAGGTGATGAGGTAATAATTAAAGTTCAATAGAAATCTTGTATGTAATATTTTTTAATGGCGTTTTGAAGTAAGTACCTAATTTTATTGTTAAATGAAAATACCATTGTAGGTATTACTTTATAATATATTGTCTGCAAATAGCATTTAGACTCTAAGAGGATGGGAATTTGTTTTTATTTATTTCTGCTTTTATCTTTGTGGTCTGATCACCTTTTCTATTATGTTGTCACTGTGCAAATACAAATACACTTAAAATGCTGTCTTGTAATTTACATGAGCTAGCAAGAGGCTAGTTTGCTATGCCTTGATCATGTGATAAAGAAATCAAACTTAGGTCATTACTTTGTGCGTCAGTCTTTACCCTCTTCCCTCAAAGTAATCTCTTAAATCCAGTGATCAAGTGAGACAGTGGAGATCTTAAAGTTTACTGCAGCATTACCTATTTTTTTAATAATAGGCAGCTGAACAGAAAAGAATTCAATTACCTTTAGATAGTGTGCAAAGACAGGCCAGTTTGCTCTTATACATTGTGTTTGGCAACAGCTTGCTGCCAAACAACCTCTTGTCCAGTCATCGCATGTGTAGCTCTAAACCTATCAGAACATATGCCATGTTTCTTTTTTGAGAAAGGTGTCATATGGTAGTTAGAAAGGTAAGGGAATGAAACACAAGTTGGTAAGGAACCAATCTGTTAGGTCCACTACTTACAAAGCAACTTCTTGTTACTTCATTTTCTCAAAAAATAATGGCATCCTGAATGGAAACTGCATATAATATTGAATTTGTGCCTAAAGTAGTTGAATAAGAAGAATTAGGTTTCATATATTTCAATTAAATCTACCTTTGTTTTCAATTTTCATGTTTCTAAAGTATATAAATTTTGTGATTATAATTTTTGGAAATATGATAAATGAAGAAACACTGGAAGAAGAATAGTGGTCCATTCTACGATGAAGAAGTAGTAGGGGAAAATACTGTACTCAAATACATAAAATTTTGCTATAGAAATGAAGGAACAATCTATTTGCTGTGATCTCCACAAATAGTTCAAGATTAAAGTTTATTAAATTTCTGTAAGGGATATATGGAGTACACAGTAGAGGCTTCATTTAAAAGTTTCATTTATGGTGGGAATAACAACACCAGTAAACTTGATGTTCACTAAAGTTTCCTAAGATGTAGAAGGTAAACAGAATGCGTCAGGTGTCATTGATCTTATCTTTCTGCAAGTTACGGTTCTAGTGACATCTTGCAGGTCTATCAATCTCATTTTTTTCTTAATAATCCTAGTCAACACTTTAAATTTAGGTTTTAAATTTTTCAGTGTTAACATGTTTCAGTGTTCAGCAATTAACTTTAAAACAAACAAAACCCAAAGTGTTATCAGTTAAGGAATTTGATGTTAGTACTATATATATGCTTATAACTGGGGAAAGATTCTTCTAATTTTTGATGTTCTCTGTTGCCTGCAATTTGGTGTGTGCAGACACAGAGCTCTCAGGATAAAGAGAAAGCTGAGAGGAAGAGAAAGGCAGAAGCAGCTAGGCTACATCGTCAGAAGATAATGGCTCAGATGTCTGCTCTGCAGAGGAATTTCATTGAAACCCATAAACTCCTTTATGAAAACACATCGGAGGCACAAGGGAAAGAAGATGCTATTATGGAGGAAGAAAGGTAAGAAAAAGCAGACATCCAGAGCTCTGGTGGGGAGAAGAGTTCATTACCTAAAATGTGATACTGCCTTATAAAAATACTTATAGTATGGTAAGATAAATTGTCATCCCAGTCAGCAAATTTGTTTCCCTTTTTAGTTTTAAGTCCTCTGTTAAAGAATCATATCAGAAGTAGTGCATGTTTGCTGATGTTAGAACAATGGATTTGCTTTTTGTAGATCAGCATAAATTAAACAGTAAGAACATTATTTCTTCAAATTGTAGGTACTTATGTAGCATTTGAAAAATATCATTAGAAATCTGTGTAGTTGACATCACTGTAGTTTAGGAGATGACTGACTGCCTTGTACAAAAACTTAAATTTGTAAAGAATCTAATGCATGTTGGCTGTGGTTAAGTTGCAGTGAAGAAAACATGCTTCTTGTAGCTCAAGTTGCTGCTATTTCTGTTCACTTTTTAAAAATCTGATTTCATACTGAAGATGTTTGGATTACATTGGTGGAAAGGAAAGATAATTTGAGAGTGAATTGGTGTTTTGCAGACTGGATAACTTAGTTCTGCAATATCCTGTAGTTATGTATAATATAATAATAGCAAGTGAATCCTTTATTGTCATGCAGGTCTTATACAATTTAGAAATGATTATTTTTCATCCTGTGCTGCTTTAGGTGGCTAGGTGTATGATAAGCTTTTCCTTTTTCCTCTGTTGAGGCTTCAAATATGTAACTGCATCATTGCTTGTGTTGGACAAACCACTTACCTATTATGATAAATCCTAACTTTAAAATCCTAACTTTAGTATATATTTACAGCAATTTATGATACTATGTTTATAATGTCTATCACACACTTCATGTCTCACTCTCAGTTACTGTGCTGAATTTATTTGATTGGGTTTTTCATTATTAGGTAACTACTCTTACAATGTTAAAATTTTTAAATGAGTCAGTTCTGGAGGAAAGACTGCATTAGCAGGCAAAGAATTGGAAATGGAAGCCAATTACAATTGAAGGAGAGAGGACCTTTTTTCATGAGTGGTGGATAAGGAGGGTAGTGTTGCTATGGTAAAAATAGCCAGGTGCAGAAATATCTCAGTTTTATACCATAAACTTCTGTTGATGTGACTACTTCAGTGGGCAGGCAGGGTGACACAGTACAGCTGATAACCGATAACTGCTCTGATGCTCAAAGCAGAGCTTTGAGTTTCGATACGGTTTATCATTTTGGGGGGAGAATAGTTTAAGGGGGTAGCTATGTTTATCTGTTTTAGCAGTGATACGATTTTGGTCACGTGGATTGCTTCTGTTCTAGAGATTCTTCAAAAACATACCTAATGCAATTACAATTTTGGTCTAATTGAGGCTGCACAAAACTAATCAGAAAAACAGAGATCCGAAAAACAGCACCAAGAGGATTCATATCTCTTTTGTGAGCTTTGGTTTTTAAAACAATCTTTAAATCTTTGCCGAACTTTTAAAATAAGAAATATTTTAAAATACAAAGTTGTATTATTAAAGTTGTGTCACAAAACACTGAATTCAATAAAATTATAATGCATCTGCAAGATTAAAATATATTTAATTCAATCTTATTGAATACAGTTGCCTGAATGTACTGCTGTCTGAACCTATATCAATGTGATAATTCAGTATTAAGTGGCTACCACTTTCTTTAAAAAAAATAGAGCATTTTAGTGAGAATTGAAGTGTTTTTTCATCATTTTGTCATCACTTGATTTTGTAAAGCTCTTTGGTATAACACTGGAGATGCTTGCAGCATGATAGGATTTTAGATGCCTCAAGAGTAAGTCTGTTTTGTTAGAAGAAAGAAATGATTATTTTTCATCTGTTATCGTTATATTCTTACAGCATGTCTTCAGCAATTGATTACTCCCGAATTGCTTTGGGTCCCAAACGAGGTCCATCTGTTGTTGAGAAAGAAGTTCTGACATGTATTCTTTGTCAGGAGGAGCAGGAAGTAAAGCTGGAAAGTGCTGCTATGGTATTATCTGCCTGTGTCCAGAAATCAACTGCCTTAACTCAGAATAGAAGCAGAATTGTTGAACTCTCAGGGGGTAAGCAATTTTCTTCTAGGACACAAGCAGTTCTGTACCTAGAGCTTGTTGTCCAATGAACCTAATTAAACTCTGTATTCTGTCAGATGGCTAAATGGACAGCTCTTACTTGGAACAGTTTAACATTTTTCACTTTCCTAAAATCCATGCTTTAAAAATTAAGAATGAGAAGTGTATGAAAATTTATTTTTTTCCCTAGGATATCAGAAAATGCTTTAGTTATTCTCACAAGAAGATATATAAAACTTCAAGACCTAGTGGGAGCGGTCATTTAGAGGGGGGAAAAAGAGAATATTAACAGTTCCTGTTTATTCGAGTACACCAGTAAAATTTGACAATACGGAAGAAATACATGAACATTATGAGAGGTCTGTATGGTAGTGTCAGGTGTTTTTTCATGTCCGTAAAGTAAAAACTACACTTAAAAACAATAACAAAAAAGCATGAGCAAGGATCATATAACATTGTTCAAGAATGAATATAAAGAATCATACATAACTAGAGCTGCATAATGACATATTGGAAGCAAGAAACACAAAGACCAACCAGAAATTTTTGTAAGTAACAGTTGATTAAGCATGAGAGAGATTTTGGTCAATTATTTAATAGGAAAGAAAGAAAATAAATGCAAGGAAAAGGGGACTCTGACTTTTTTGCTCTCTTTTTCTCTTTTTCTCTGCTTAAAATTAGTCATAATTCAAGATCAGGTGTTCTGCTGTTGACTTTAAGAAAAGAAATAGTCTAGAACAGGATAAAAGGTATTGCAACGTTATGTAGATAATTTCAGTATATTTACCTTGGCAACTATTAAAATAATTTTGAAAGTACTCTCAGAACTTTGTCTTCAGTAGAAACTTTGATTATCTTTTAAAATGCATGGAAGATAGTTGAGATCTCAAAGGGCTAAGAAGAGCAAACAAGTATTTGTCTTAAGAAAAAAAATGAAACAAGGAAGTACTAAAAAGTTCTGACTTCAGAGAGCTTAGATGCCTAGAAGTACGTTGAATGATAGTAATTATTACAGGTTATAAAAACTAGAAAGAAAAAGGGATAAGAATTGTCAGACATGGATTTGTTGAGAGAAGGTCCTACTAAATCACCCTAATTCTTTGACCAGGACAAGTGGTTTTGAAGGTATGGAAAAAGCAGCTAACTTATTCTCATTTTTATTATAATTTATTTTTCTGTCCTACTTAATAACAGTCAAGTCAAATATTTAGGTGAAATTACCCCAGGGTGGATGTACAACACATCATAAAGCTACAAGTGTGATTCAAGCATACTATAATATTAAATAATAATTTAAGGGGGTTCTGTCTTGTGATTACTTTAAAGTGTTGATCTGCAAAAGCTCATGAAATGCATAATGTGACTGAACTTTAAAAAAGAAATAAAATCTGAAGGCTTGTGTTCTGTGTATGCTGTTGTTCATTTCTATTCATATTGATCAGAAGTTACGTCGCTGTTCTTTCAATATATTTTCTATTGTGTTTTTCTAGATACACTAGATCCTCTCTTCATGCATCCTGACTTACCATGTGGAACCCACACAGGAAGCTGTGGCCACGTGATGCATGCAACCTGCTGGCAGAAGTAAGGATAGGTCTTTGCAAGGTTTTTGCAGTTTTTCATATTTATTGATCTATTTTCTGAAACATTTAATTGCACGCAGAGAACACACAATAGTAAGTGGCTATTGAATTAAGAATTCAGGCTATGTACTCATCTAAAAATGAAACATGGCACAAGAGAAGTTTTTAACCAATGAAGAAAAGCATCATCAAAAGGTATCAATCTACTTCTATGACCCAAAGAAGAATATGTAAGGAGTTACCAATTTACGCAAATAAAACTGATGGGGTAAAAATGGTCAAGAATAAGAAACCCTATCTAGCAGATGTCTTTTTAACAGTCCGATGAGGACCAGTAGGAGTCTTCCAGATGGGTGTTCTACAACAACACTCCTTTGTCTCTGAAAGCTTGTTACCTGCTCACTGCTTAAAGGATGAAGCTGAGTTACGCCAGTGAGTCTTTAGATGAAAATCTGGCATTTAGTCTAGAATATAAATGGTTAAATCTACCAGTGTAGAGGTTCCTCTCCAGTGGTGGACAAACTCTTAATAAAAAAAAAAAAAAAGAATTGATACAGTAGTTAAAAGCTATACTAGATATATATTGTTTGCAGGTGCTCAGTATTTAGACAAAGGATGTTGGATTAGAATATAGCCTGAACTATTAAAAGACCAAATTATTCAGCCTGCATAATATGGTCATCTTTGTTGCCTCTAGCTACATGCATATGATTACAGGCAGTAAAGCTAATGTTGAGCATTTTGAGTACATGTAGATTCAGCAACTCTAAAAAAGGATAAATACTGTGAAATAATACTAGAACTTAAATACCACTGAGGTGTTATAAACAGATAGAGAGTTGGGTCATGCAAGGGAAGTTACTTCATGCTGTCAAATGATAAAAACAATTTCAGGTGGCTGTTTTTTTTATGCTTGTGCCATTTTACTTTAAAAAGCTTGACTAAAATTCAAGTGCTTACTATTTACTTTTCTGTATGTATATTTTTATTACAAAACAAAACACAGTACAAAATAAATAGGTACACACACTTAAAATGATATGGAATTATGTTCCTCGAGTATAATACATCTGCTCTTGGCAGATCCATCCACATCTACGTAGAATCTAAGTAGTGCAACACTGGAGCTCAGTTCCCTTGCTCTTTTTAAGAAAAGATGACTTGCTGTATGGGTAAATGGGATTAAAATGGACAACAGGCTCTTCTCATACGGGATGACACAGAAGGTTTGAGTATAGTCTTTTACTTATTACATAACAGACATTCTAACTTACTAATATTCCTCCAAATGATGCCTGCCACACTGTGCAGAGTATCTGTGCAGCCTAAAAATACTGCAAACATACTCTATAAAACAGTACAAGTAAAAATTAATGGAATATCTTTGTAGTTGCCATGTATGAGAAAGAAGAGTTGCTTGCAATAAAATAATTGTTTGAATTTGGGGAAATGTATATTGTGTGTATATGTATGTAATGAATACTTTCATAAATACTCTGTAATTATTATGACTTCTGTTGATCACCCCTGTAAACAAATTTTCTCTTATTAGATAAATAAGATGCTATTTTAAATCTTAAGATGTAATACTCAAAAGCAAAATAATAACTAGTAATTACCTTAGTGTGAAAGTTCAGTAATTTCGTATCTGTCTTACAGATCCTACATGTCCAGTCCGGGTGTTAGTACTAAATTTAATTGCTTATATTCAGGCAAGCAGATTTGAATGTTGGGTTTTGTTCCTAATAACGTCAATACCACTGAGACATTAATGAAATCGGAAGGATTACTTCATTCACTGAGGGAGCAAAATTATATAACAAAACCTGTAAAAAGATCATAGTTACTTCTCAGTTTCCTTTTGAGTTTAAAGTAGGTCGTGTGATACTGTAGTGCAAATTACCGTCTTTTCTAAAGGAAGTCTGCAGTTTTGTTGTCTAGTCATGAGACTTGGTCATTGCCACAAATAGTTGATTATTCATTCATGAAATGTTACCAGTAGGTTTTCCTAAAATTGGAATGTGTACAAATGCTATTTCAATTGTTTTCTAATGAGTTTCTTATGAAAGATATTAGATACTGTCTGTGTTTCATTGCTTTGAAGATGTGACAGAATAGTAGAAAACTTAAAGACTGCTGTGTGTAAAAATTTTAATAAAATGCATTTTAAAGGATCTTAACAGCAAGAAAAAGTTACCATCATTTTGACTAAGTTGGTATACCACGCTTTTTTTGAATGAGTTCAAATACGTGACCAAAGGCTTTATTTTACTTTCCAGTATAAGCATATGAAATAGTTATAAAAGGAAAAGACTCATTTGTTGGCATGGATAAGTACTTGTAGGTAGTAACATTTTTCATTACTTGAGCATTTGTTTTCACGTCATGTTTGAGCCATTCCATTTTCTAGTAATCCCCTTTTCAATGTCATAGGTACTTTGAAGCCATGCAGCTGAACTTTCGACAACGTCTGCATGTTGAACAGATATTTGACTTGGAGAATGGAGAGTATCTTTGTCCACTTTGCAAATCTCTGTGCAATACTGTGATTCCTATTGTTCCGTTGCAGGCTCAAAAAATAAACAGGTGAATTTCCAGATTGCACAGCATTTAAATTTCTATATCTCTATATATTTGTGTGTGTGTGTGTGTGTGTATATATATAAAAATATATATACAAGTGTGACCTTGGGTTGGGTTGGCTTTTCAAATTTTAGGAAGGAAAGCTCAGGCTAACCTTCCTAATTTGTATAAAGGACTGCTTATCTCATTGACTACTCACCCAAATATGCTTCCTCTCAAAATCCTTTTCTAAAGCATTTCTGGACTAAGTACTTCTGGAGTGTACACCAAAAGAGAAAATACAGCTACTAGTACAGTATAGCTAATGCTTGTTTTTTGTAGCATTTGCTCAAAATTTACAACGCGTGCAAATCTATGCAAACATGGAGTTAATGTGTTTTGATCTATGTGTATTTTGCTTTTAAAGATTATTTATAAAGATCCTTTGAGTGTTGAAGTAACAACTTATTTGCATTTCTTTTTCTCAGTGAGGATGCAGAGGCAGTAGCTCAAATTCTGTCCCTAGCTAGGTGGCTGGAAATTATCCTCGTCAGGATATCAGGCTACAGTGTGAAAAATGCAAAAGGTTTGTTTGTTATCTTCCTTTTGAAGCTTTTCTGTGGGGTATCTGATATTCCAGTGCATGTTTAAAGTAATGTCAACAGAAAACTTCAAATAAAGGGTACATTTTACTATCAATCAATACAGTATAAAATAAAGTTGGTGTTCAAGGCACAGCCCTTTCTGAGCTGATACTTTGATTTCAAAATGCTCTCCAGAAAACTCACCAGTTTCCTGATTTCTATTCATTTCCTTCTGTCTTCCCTGTAGAAGAAAGTTACATATATTTGGAGAGGACGATTGGCAATTAACACTCAAAGTTAATTATTTTTTTTGCCTGACTAATTTGTAGTGAAAAGGAGAAAAATAAATTAAGAGGGCCAAAATAAAAATATTTATGATTGTTTAGGAAACTGAAGTTCCAAAGAATTGGTGCTTTCCTTGTACTCCTATGGTGCAGGAATGTTCTGTTCTTGTGGCTGCTGCTGTATTTTCCTCACCAAGGAGAGGAAAAAGTAGTAGCAAAGCACTACTTCTAATCTCCATGTGTTTGGGAGTAGAAAAAAATGTTAGGGATGATTAGAAGACAGTCTTGCTTATGAAGTCTGTTAATTATTTTCAAAACAGTTAAAAATACAAACCTCACTTCTGTTAGACTACTATAAAAACTGTTAACGATTTCTTTGAATTCTAATGTGGATCTAATTTCTTCTTGTGGAAGGAGAAAAACAAAATGCTCTGGCTTTCGTCAACAAGGGATTGGGAAACTCTGCTTTAGAATTCAATTCTATCCTTAGTTTTGGAGTTCAGTCTTCGTAAGTATTACCAGAAATTCTTTCTACACTGTATTAATTCTCCCTAAAATAGCCTAACTATGTTTCAGGATATGTATTGAAGGAAAACATTGACTTTCTTGGTCTGAATGTGGCTTTACGTGTAATTTTCCTTCAGTATTCACTGAACATCAGATCTATATACAGCTAGATGGACCTCTTTTTCAAACCCAGTCTGGCAGTTCTTATTCTCTTAGTACAGAACTATGACTCTAGAATCTTCTAACCCACAATTTCAGTGATTTTCACAATTCTCTGTGCTTCTAGGCATGTTAGTTAAACTCTGTCTTCTTTAATCTTTCTGCTGTATGTCTGTTTCAGGGGTAGCTTTCGCTTGTTTTCAGATGCTGTTATATCCAGGTATTTGTTTACTAGTGGATGCTAGTGATTTTGTTTCCTCTATACAGACAAGTGGTCTTCGTATTCAATAATTCTTTCATGAATAACCTTGATTTTGTTAGTGATTAACTTATAAGTAACAAGCATTATTAACAAATTCAGACTGAAATGATCTTGGCTTACTTTTGCAGAGCCAAATACTCAAGCAGTATCAAGGAGATGCTTATTCTGTTTGCAACCACCATTTACAGAGTTGGACTAAAAGTTGCTCCAAATGAAGCTGATCATCGAATCCCTATGATGACCTGGAGCACATGTGCTTTTACCATCCAGTGTATAGGTAAAGTGTAATTTGAGTTTGCTTCTTTTTGTGACTCAAAGCTCTTAAGATTGTTTGAGTTGTAAAATTGTATACAATCTGATAGTATAAATAATAATGATAGTTCTATATAAAGAAGAACAACATGTAATAGATTAATGATATTTATTGTATGTAATTACATGGATAATAACATGATACACTTTAATCCAGTGTAAGTAATAGGATGTTTTTGTTAGATGGTAGTTCATAAAATATCTGATTAATGTATGTAGTGCCAACATTTGTGAGTTTAACCTGTGAGAACTGGGAGCGATCGTGTTCCGTGTTACTAACTGCATCATTAAGTACATTTGAATATCTCAAGGCTGACAAAGATCTTAGATGTGCATGCATTTTCTGCGCAGTGAAATATCTAACAACTATGAAACAGCGCTTCCTCTTTTTGGTTTTCTTCAAAAAAAACCCAACACCTTCTTAACACTTTAATATTTTGAATTATCCTTGAATCAACTACACAGTAGGGTTCATTATTTTCTTTTGTCTTTATTCTTAAAGAATTCTCATACAATTTGTAGAAGAAATGTGGTCTTTAATATTCTGAAGTTGCTAACTATACATGTGGTGGAAAAGAAAATAATGTCTTATTCAAATGAATTACCATTCCTTTAAATCCATAGTTAGGAAGACCTGAAAACTACCACAGTCATTTATGTGGCAAGCCAATTTAAGCTGGATTTTTTCAAGAAAAATCTAAGGGAGTTACTTATCAGAATTATGCTAAGCTTTAAAAAGAAAGATGTATACTAAGAAGAAAAAGTATCTTGCATTAAGTTAACATGTGTGAGACAAACAGAAATTTTATATTAATTCCTGTAGAACAAAGCAACTTACTTTTTTTCTGTGTTTTAATTTTAAGAAAACCTCTTGGAAACAGAGGGCAAGCCTTTATTTGGATCTCTACAAAATAGACAGGTATGAGCAAGTAGATATGCAATACATTTACACATATGTTGTTGAAACTGCTGACATCAAGATCATTCTCTGTTGAGAGCTATCTGAAAATACTACAGATTTAGTTTAGATTGATAACATAAAAAACATACTAGACAACATGCTTCTACTTCATATTTAATTCACTTATCAAGATGTTTTCTATTTGTAGGGGTATGTTCTTACTGATTTGTTTCATTATTATCTCTTCCTGTCCAACTGTTTTTTCTTGTGCTCTAGCACAGTGGCCTTAAAGCATTAGTGCAGTTTGCAGCTGCTCAGAGAACAACGTCACCACAAGTCCTGATTCAGAAACATCTGATTCGTCTTCTAGGAGGTATTGTATTCATTGTGTTTCCTATCTTTTGTATCACAGAAGTTTCTGTTAAAAGGTAGTGCATGCTATTAATACACCATAGAAGGAAAGGACAGACTACTGACAACAATGCTAATTTCAATTTCACTTGTGTTCCCTTGCATCACCGAGTTTTGCTTGAATTAAAGTAAATGATAGCTCTGACCCAGCTCTGTGTTGCTGAAGTTGACAAAAAAGTTTAAGATATCTGGATTTCAGGTAGAACTGGGTTGAGACGCATACCTATCCTCCATGTTTCTTGCTAATCTGTTTAATGTGGTGGCCTTTGTGAATCCCATTATCTAACGTGCCTTGTATTGGACAGGATGCTTAGGTGTGGTACAGGTTTTGGGATTCTGCTCAATTGCTTTAACATGGTGTTAAGGGTGAGACGAAGAAATAAATGAGAGATTTTTATCTCAGAATTTTGAAGAGATTGTCATGAAAATCTTGAGCTGCTTGGGCTCATGGAAGTTGCTAAATAGATGCAGTCAAGTAAGTGATAAGCAGTGAAATAGCTAGATACTCTCATCATTGCAGAGGCTTAGCCTCTTTTTGATGAAAACACAAGTGATTCAGGCTCTGACACCAGATTCTGATATTGCGGTTTGGTCTGAAAGAGGAAAGCGCATAACAAATATGTAATTAATATATTTATTTTGTAGTTCTTCTACCAAACTTTAAAATGGAAGACACTCCATCCCTCTTAGAAGTAGATATGTTCCACGTTTTGGTAAGTAGGTTTATGTTATTCTTCATATTAATACACTTTTTTAGAGTTTAGATTTCTGTGTAATTTTACTATTTCATTTACAAATGAAATGTAACCATATAGTGGGAATGTAAGTTATAATAATTCATATTACCCGTGTAATTATTACCAAATTTTTGTTACTTCAATATTTACTTCTTCCCTTTCACTGTAGGTGGGAGTTGTGTTATCATTTCCATCTTTATACTGGGAGGATGCTGTAGACTTGCAACCTTCATCAATTAGTTCAGCCTATAACCACCTCTACCTCTTCCATCTGACTACGCTAGCACATATAACACAAATCGTTATCTCTTCAGCAAAAGGTAGGGGTGTATTTGGGTTGTATTATTTTAGCATTTTACAAAATTTCTTAAAAATAATAGATAAACATATTGATAGCAACTACTGGTGTCTTCCAAATATGAACTTTCTCAGAATAGATGACATTTAGTCCTAGGTAGAAATAACTTCTTGTTTAAAAAAAGTAGCTCTATCATTTTCAGAGCATTTTATTATATCATTTGTGTGTTTTGCAGAAGAAAACAGAATACTTACACGTTAGTGCTTGATCAAGTCAGTCGTGTAGGCAGCTTCCTATACCCTTTGCTCCTTGTAGAAGAAACAAAGCACTACCCCGGGAGCAGCAGTCTGAGCTGCACATTGAGAACTAGCATGGATTTTGGAACTATACTTTCCTTTACCCTTCAACCTATTTAATACCCACATCCAAAGTATGGAATCTTCTATAATAATAAAGAGGAATTTCACATTTCTCTATATTTCATATTACTGTTAAATACTGTCGGTAACCTACAGTTAGTCCTAGCTACAATTTCCCTTTTTCTTGAACATGACAGGACAAAAAAAAGAAAGCAAAAAATGAAACAATTTCCTGTAACTTAATCCATATAGGACAATAACTTCAGAAGATCATGGGAAGGAAGCAGTGTTTACATGAGGCTGAGCAGAGGGGCACTAATCAATATTATTCTTGATAGCATGCAGTTTTAGGAGAACGCTTCTTAGGTTAAAAACAACAAATAGTAAAGAATTAAGCAAAATAAAGTGGAAACATTTCTGTAATACAACTGAAAAAAAAAAGATGTCAGATTATATAAAATGAGATGTGTGTCACAAATGAAGTGCGTTTACAGTGTGATTTATCTTTGTGCAGAATCCCCTACAGCTCGATCACATGACAACAGTGAAGAGGCATGTTCTGCTCAGTCTTTCTGTAGAGAGGTTTGCCAGTACACTAGTGGGTAAGTAGCAGTTCAGTTATAGTATTGTGTTTTCTAGAAACACCCTAGGCAATAACTTGTAAGCAACAGAGAAAATTCTTAGTCTTAAGGATGAAAAATTACCTACATCCATTCTGGAGGGTAATGCAATCACAAACTGTGTAAGGTAAAGTAGGGGGAGGTTATTTTTTTGGCTTTGAATTTTTTAGATTTCTGTTACAGATTTTCCTTTCAAGCAGAAGAAAATAATTCCACTATAAAAGGAAGGGTGAATAGTGTACAGCTAAACAAAATTACTTATTTGCTTGAGCATTAGTGCCTTTCCTACCAGACCTTCTATGGTTATAGCTACAGGCTCTTGAGTGGTTTGTTATCTAGATGACAAAATAAGCTAGAAAATGCGGGTGCACCCTCTACAAATTCTGCTTTGATTTATTTTTGTGGAATCTGTGTATGTTTTGGGATGGAAGGAATGCTAAAGATGATCTAATTGCAACCCCCAAAGGCTAGTTGCAAAAATGTTTTTATAGGATTGACAATGCTGTCACATGTCTAAAAGTTTAAGTTTAAATTTAAAATTTGGTATTTAAGTAATAGGAGTAATTTTTCACATGCACGATAGTTGCTGTGCATTTTGGAAAAACAGGTTACCAAATACAGAATTAATTACTGCAGATATTTCTCATTTGTGTATTACAGTTGCTTTAGTCAGGATATTCCAGGCTGGCTTGTATGGGATTGTGTTAAAAAAGGCATCATGCCTTACCTTCGTTGCGCTGCTTTATTTTTTCATTATTTGCTGGGAGTGTCTCCGCCTGAGGAGCTACAACAAGGTAAATATGAGAAAGCAAATGTATCTATATCCTGAAGTTGTTTACTCTTCTCCTGGAGTAATGGGGTTTTAAAATGTTCATGATAACAACAGCTAATACATTAAGACTTGGAAAGAAAAGGAAATACTTATTTGTATAGGAAGGGACAGGTATGAGAAGTTTGGTGGTCTAAACCTCTTTTTTTGCATGGAAAAGAGCTAATTCTGAGTGTGTGCAAATACATGAATTATCAATGATGTATAGGTAGTATTTGTGGATACAAAGACAGTAAGGGTCATTTATCTGAGAAATAGCCTCGAGTATATTAAAAAAGAAAAGAAAACCTTGTGCAGTTGCTAATGTTGGTAAATATTAAGACAGATGTAGCAAAATAAAGCCTTGTAGAAATAAAGCATGTTGTAGAGCTTTAACGTCTTCCTTAAATAATTCTAATTCATTATAGATACTAAAACAAAAACTTTTTTTTTGTCAAAATGCAGGGAAAAACAGAATCATCAACTGCTTGGACAGGATGACCCAAACTGTTATAAACAACTGAGACACAATGTAGTCTTAATTTATATAAACTGAACTAAATTTGAGTTTGATTAGGATATGCAAGTTAAAATCTCTGCGCTTTGGGATATGATCTTGTCATTACTGTCAGTCTGGAATTTTCCTTCTGTAGGAAGCATTCTCTCTGGTGAAGCCACAGTTCCGTTTTCTGCAGCTAAAAGCCAATAAATAACCACTCAGCAAACTATTAACCTTGCACAACTTTGTGTGTGTTAACATTAACTTGATCATAGCAAAATTAAATATCATTGCAGGCCCAAAGTATAGTGAAAAGATAAAATATGATAAATAGGGAAATCTGCTGTACCAACATCTTATATATATTACGCAGTGAAATGGAGTTTAAGCAAGGAATTCTGTTTTAATTATGACTTATTCATGACTTAATATAATAACGATCAATTTATTAACAAATGTAAAGCAGATATTCAGGCCCTGATTAAGTCAATGGAGTATCAGACAATTATACTGTCTAAGGAGCTATGTTCTGGCTGGGAGATGGGTATTCAATGGAAGAAGAATCACAAGAACTGTAGTTTGAGTGAAGTATTCAGCAGTGTGGAAACATTTTAACAATTGCTCATGTATTTTTTCTCTTGCAGTTTCTGAAGAAGGGCAGTTCAAGGCACTTTGTAGTTACCTTTCCCTACCCACCAATTTATTTCTGCTCTTCCAGGAATACTGGGACACTGTAAATCCACTGCTTCAAAGGTACTAATTGAGAATGGGCAGGCCATGTTTCTGCAGTGTAATGGCTTTGTGGGAATCAGGTCAAATTTCTTAATAATCAAGCTCAAGTTCATATTAGAGTTGTAAATGTTTGTTTGATGTGCATAGGTATACTGAATTTTTGAAAGTACTTAAACATAAAACATTATACATTTCTCTAGTAATTTAAACATTAAATTACCATAGACTACAGAACTACTGTTTGCAGACATGAGTGAAATTGGTTCATGTACAGAGAAGTTACCATAAATCTTTGTGTTTGGTGTACCATTTGCTGTTTTTTGGTCCATTTTTGTCAATAGCAAAACTGCTGATTACATGACCTATGAAATGAAATTTTATAGCCTTCCACATGAGGTTTTGTACTTTGTTGTCATTGGATTTCCAAAATAAACTGATGACCATAGAAATTATCTTAATGGTTAAAAGGTGCAATTTTAGTATGTACATTGCAATCTGACAGTAAGGAGATAATTGCTAAAATTCTATATTCAGAAACCCAAGTTAAAATAAACAACTACCCACCACCCCCCAGCCTTCATCTCCGAGAATAATAGAATAATCCTGCTTTATTGTTTTGGAAAATGTCTTCATGTATTTACTGTGACTGTTTTAGCACATGGTAACATTAATTATTATTCTTGATTCTTGTCAGAATTCCCTAGCTTACATTAGCTTTTTGGGTTTTTGCCTCTGTTCTGCTTTGTTGCCTAGCTTCCCTCAATTAGCTGCCTTAAATAGCTTCCTACATAGAAGTTTGCTATAATTGCATTTGTAGTGTGTACAACTAATTATAAATTAATAGCATGTTAGCAAGTGTATTATTAAATAAGTTTGTCTTAAGTTCCTACATGTCTGCACAAAAACATCACAGATCTTGTAAGGGAGCACAGATCTCTTGCAGGTTCTTGTGAATGTTAGAAAGAGAATGCTAGAGGCAGGGCTAACAAATGCATCAGTGTTCCCAGCCAAAAACAGGTTTTGAGTGAGAAACCACCTATTTTATGTAATACTAACAGTTTTCAAGCCGTCCTGTGATTTCCCCTATATTTTCTGAAGGAATCTTATTTCAGAAGACTAAGATAAACAGTTGTTGAGAAGTGTGCTAGATGAAGATGCTAGATTGACCATCTCTTACAGTTCTCTTTGCTTTCTCATGTTTTATAGAAATAATATATTTTAGCTACCAATTCCTCTGTTTTGTAACTTGCCAACGTCTATTTTTTTTTGTTAGATTTGTTTGGTCATTCTAAGCAAGAACATTAAAAAAAAAATCTCTAAATAATGCATTGTAAAATAATCATTGGGTAATGGTTATTAAATAAAATATACTGACTACTAAGAAAACATTTGATATTATACTGTATATTCCAAGAGGAGCTATGTACTGTAGCCCATGTTTACTTCATGAGAACTCTATGTCAATACACCAATAAGGACTGCTCGCATTTGTAACTCAACTGAGTTTTAATATGCAAGGAAATACTGATCATTTTAAGCATTGTGTTTTTCATGTAGTTTTTTTCTTTTGCAAGCAAACTTAAAATATTCTTTTCCTGAAGCAAAACTGCAATGAGCAGCAGGTTTTCCTTGCAAAGTTTAAGCTAAACTATGGACATGTTATCTATGCTCTGTTCTTCGTAGTTTAGTTTATGGATACCAACGTTGTATTATTATCATACACCGTTTTCTACAAATGTTTGTTTGAAATAGGTGGTGTGCTGACCCAGTGGTGCTAAGTTGTTTGAAGGGGAAAAGCATTGCAATAAGGTTAGTGGTTTTTTTCTTCCTTTGTTTTTGACTTAAAACTGTTCAAAGAATTAAGTGCTTGTTTGTGAGCAAGTTAGCAGTACTTCTGTTCTTTCTCATGCTGTGCTACCAAAAGTCATTTCTCTTTAAGTGGCTTTATATTATTCCTCACACAGTGAATTTTCATCAACAATGTACAGCATTCTGTTAACTAAGTTATATAGCTTTCTTTAATGAAAAAGAAAAGCTAACTGAAACTTGAAATTTCTGTGTATATATGTGTTAAATATGCAATTTAATTTTGTCATCTTTGCTGAAATTGCTGGGATGTACAAATGGTGAAGCTCCTATGTGAAGACTCATTTGGGCTTCTAGGACTGAAGAGCTGTTCTGGAACTCAAGCTTTTGGTACATTCTGCAAAATTCTGAACAGGATAGTGATTTATAGCTGTTGATTATGTTTTTTCTTTTGCTGTGATAATTTTTCTTGTAATCTTTTTTACTTACACAGATACCCTAGGAAAAGAAATAGTTTAATAGAGCTTCCTGAAGACTATAGCTGCCTTCTGAATCAAGCATCTCAGTTTAGGTAAGATTTGCTGTATTTAGTTGTCTTGCTGGGAGTTTTGTCATTTTGATGTTTGTGTAGTTAATGTAACTGCTGTTAAAACTGTATATAGAAATGATTTTGTGGAAATTAAGGCAGTGTTATGGTTATACTGGTCCATACCGTAATAAGTGTTTTAAGTCTGCTGTACAACATCTTGCTAAATGAAGTCCCTTGTGTTTGGTAGAGTAACACATCAAATTATTGTACCTTAATCTGCTGATCATTTTTCACCAGTGCAATGTAGGTTTGATTTGGCCCATAAACCTGAAAAGTATCGTTGCACTAGACACAAGAAGCCCAGCAGGTTAACACTGTTTTATGCCAGGAAGAGTGGATCAGGATAATTCAGATGAGGAGGGACTTAGCAGATCATCTAGTCCAATGTCCTGCTTGTAGGAGGTATTTTGCAGCTGAAATCTTTGAAGCAATGTAAAAACAGAGCCAGAGAAAGCAGATATGTGAAACATGGTTATGACATAGTATATGTCTTACGTGTGACTTTTTTTTAGGAACATTATTGATTGTTAGCTTTTCTTTGGAAGATAAATTCCTGAATTAACATTCTGGTTATGCTTTATCTAGATGCCCACGGTCTTCTGATGATGAACAAAAACATCCAGTATTATGTTTGTTCTGTGGGGCTATGTTGTGTTCCCAGAATACTTGCTGTCAAGAGCTTGTGAATGGGGAGGAGTTGGGAGCCTGCACGTCTCATGCTCTTCAATGTGGAGCTGGAGTCTGTATGTTTCTCAAGTAAGTAGCTAGCTAGAATTTAACTTATTAACGAATAAAAGGAAATATTTGAAGGTTAAAAAACCACAACAGTGTCAAAGCACTTGACTTGTCTGAGGTGAAAAAACATTGCTTTGACGTAAAATGCAGCATACCAAAAAGTTATACCGCTGCTGGGAGTTGTTGTGTGTTCCCTAGGTTCTGAGTCAGATCATATACTTTATAGAAAGAATATACAGTTCCAGGTATAAAACCAGTATGCCTGTTTTCCAGGTGATGTGTCTAGTTTATCCTGCATGGTTTAGTTGGGCTAGAATTTTCCAAGTATATTGGAATTGCACATACCATTCCCTTAAACTGGGATTTTCAAATGAACAGTTCTATGAATTTAGTATCTAGAGATTATCTTCTGTGATTAAAACCAGTCTATTTTTAATACATGTTTTTCTTTTTACTACTTAATGTGAAAGAAAGAACTGATCTTTATCTAGTTACTTTGTTCTTAGTTCACAAAATGGTTGAATTTCTACTTCAGCATAGGATTAGTTTCAAGTATATCAGGAGCTATGTGGAGCTTCTGTGTGTTTAGAGGATTATGTATTGTAAAGTTTTTAATAATGAGATTAAATGGAAACTGGGGACTTAGAATCAGAAGATCATAATTATGGTATTATCTTCCACAGGAAATAACTGTAATTCGTGCCTGTTCTTTAAGGCTGTGTAAGTTTAAATTACACTGTAAACACAGGCTCAAAGTTCTAGGATTGATATTTTTTCAGCAGTCTTTATCTGTCAAGCCTACTCTACTCTTCTCTTGATTGAGGTGTCAGAGGCAAAACATCTGGGACTCTTACTTATTACTTATTTTTCTCCACACTTCAAGGACCCTCAATAGGAATAGCAATCCAGAGGCCTGTAAGTTGGCAAAACCAGAATATCTTTGTAGCTTGAGCTTAGTATTGTCCTTCACAATGTAATCAGAGAGAGAGTTACTGTAAATTGACTTTTTTCTCATTCTATTACTTCTGAAATATAGGCTTGTGCACACATACAGCTGTAAATGGAGGGAAGTACATTCTTAAGACTGGCAAGCTAATCAGTTGAATAGTGTTTGGTATGTTTCTTGTGTGACTCATGGCTGCTTAAGATAACCACAGAAGTGACTGTAACAAGAAAATTCAAGTAGAGTCATGAAGTAGCTAAGCACCCAAGCCCAAAGTAGGTGTATTTAGGTACATACCTGCTGTAAACTCTGAAGTTTTCCATAGCATCTGGAATTGCTAGCACAGGCAAATCGCTGTAATGGGATGTTTGTTTTGGACTGGAGTTGTTTTGTGCCTTGGAGGGTCGATAAATCCTTTGTGGATCTAGACCAGAGCAATGCAGTGTTCAAAATGGAATGCATGCCTTTGGGATATTCTTCAGTTACCTGAACTGGTTCTGGTATGGAAAACTATCTAGCTCCAATAATTTCAGGAGCTTTGTACAGGTTAATTCACTGTTTTCCTTACCAAGAGCAGGACTTCTACTGCCTGAAGATTGCTTCTGGTACCTATTATAATTCTCATCCCATTACCCTACAATGTAGTAGGGAGTGTAGATATGTAGATACTGCCTCATAACTCAGTAAAGACCTGTGGAAATAAGGTCCCGTTATGGCTATCCTCACGTTACATAATAAGCTTGATGTTTCCTCCTTTTATTAAACTCTTAAGTGCTAACAAGGATTATATATGTTTAACTTAAATCAATTTTAAAAATTGACTTGTAGTGATAGGTAAGTCTCCTTGCTGTTGGTATTGAGACACTAGTTTAGATCTGGTTTAGCTCTACTTAAGCTAAAGATAATCCATGCTATTTAATCTATTGTAACTCATACTATTCAACTACTAGGTAAAATAACTCTACTAGGGATTGTATGCAACAGGGAATTTGTTGCAAAGCTACAGGGATAATAAATCCATGCTTACATCATGTATGAAGTCGGAAATAATTACATGTGGTATTTAACAAGGAGTTGATGCAAAGTAACTTGTAAAAATCCTAGCTAATTGAATCTACTATTGATTTAGATCCTACCTAAGCTATCAAAAGTTGTAGCTTATAGAAAAATACTGTAAATTTCTGGCAATGTTGAAGATTTATTTTAAATGAAGCTATTTTTCCTTAAGAATCAGGGAGTGCAAAGTTGTCCTCATAGAAGGTAAAACCAGGGGTTGCTTATATCCTGCTCCCTACTTGGATGAATATGGAGAAACAGATCCAGGACTGAAGTAAGTAAATATTTAGCCTTCCTGATTTCTTCATTTCTGTTTTGGTGTCTGTCTTATACCTATTAGGCACCATGTTCTTCCTGCTAACATGTGGAGCACAAATACGTATCTTTGTCTGGTGAACTTGTTTAACTTCAAAATCCTGATGATAGTTTCTAGTCAGGAATGGGTCATTAGTAGTGGAAAAATCTACTTGGTTCTGTTAAATTTTCTTAATTTTCACAAGAATACTTTCTATACTTTTAATCTGAAATTTGCAACTGCCATTACTAAAATGTTGTCTTGGAAATTACAGTCACTGTTCGTTGCATGTGAAACTTTTTTTTACCAGTAGACCTGTTGGAGTTTCTGTTCATACAATTATTTAATTTTTACTGTCTGTTGTTACTACCATTAATGCTAGACTATTCATGGAATAGTTTGTTAGTTGATATTCTGATATGCTTATTCATATATTCTCCCTTTCCTTCTATGAAGAAGAGGCAATCCCCTGCACCTATGTCGGGAGCGTTACCGGAAGCTCCATCTGCTGTGGCAGCAACACTGCATCATAGAGGAGATTGCCAGGAGCCAAGAAACAAACCAGATCTTCTTTGGATTCAATTGGCAACTGCTTTGAGTCTCCTGATTTTAGGGAAATCTCTTACCTTTGGCAGTGCTTTGGAAAAGGAAAGAAGAGTGGCAGTAAATAATCTACTCTAAAGTGGATACTGTAGTTCAGACACAACAGATGAATTCTCTAGGTTTGATGTAGTACTGATACATTGAAACAGAATTTCATGTCATATGTCTTGCTCTTTTTTTCCCCCCCAAAAAGCCACCTTGTATAATTATTATTTGAACATTCAGGTCCAGAAATATTTTCACTTCTTTGACAAGTTGTAATTGTTTCACATGTTTTGATGAGGACGCCTTCCCAAACCTTGTGCTTCAGGGCACACACATTCTTTTCTTGCCTCAAGAGTATACTTTTAAATGATATTGTTAAGGAAAAAGTTGCTTTACTTTCTTTCTGCGTTTTTTTCCACGCTTACTGGAACTTTTTAATAAGTCAAGATCTGTGGCATAATGTTGGGGTGGAAGTGGTGCCAGGTCTGTAGTAATCTGTAGCAACAGGTACAGCAAACATGAAGCTGTGCAGAAAAAGCCTGCATTCTGCTATATCCTGGGATTTAATGAAGAGTTTATTAAAGAAAACTCTTCAAAGGAGAAGTGTGCATAGAAAGTGCATGGGGGAATTACCATCTTGCTTGTTGCATCAAAAATAAAGTCTGTGCTTTTCGCATTGCCAGAACTGCACTTTATCTAATGAATTTGTCCTCTATTAATGTTGTATATCCTAAGAGGTTAGAGCTACACTGTTTGGTTATGTTGTGATTAGTTTTACTTCTTTTAGTTTGTCCCCTGAGGTTTTCCCTGAGAGACAAGCAAGAAAATATTGTTAGGTAGTTGTAGTATATCTCTGCAAGTTATACAGGAGCCAGAGACTTCAACAGACTAAATCTTCAAAACTATCACTAGACTAAAATCAAGTCCCTAAACCAGCAAATTTAAGAATTGGGAATAAGTTTGCCCATGTTTGGGGAATTTACCACCTTTCATACTCTTGTCACAATTGGAGTCCTATTTGCATAAATGAATGTGTTTTGGGGGTCATGTTCAGTGGTTCAGTGCTAGTTAGAGCAGAAAAGAAAAAGAAGGTTGCTAAGTTGTCCCTTTTCCCTTTGGTAGTTATTAATACATTGTGATTGAACTCTCTCAATACTATGTGAATCTATTTCAGTTCTAATTGTTTGTTATTCTGTTTTCTGAATTTCAACTATAATATACTTGAGGGAATTTGTAAGGCGATGGGTGTAAATGCTTTCCTAGGATATCCCGTTTGTGTCCAAGCTTGAAGTTATCAGTGCTCTAAATTTCCCCTCCCTTTGCTATTTGGATTTTTTGTGTAAGTTAATAAGGCTCACAAGGGGAGGTTTTCAAATTAATAACTGAGAATGTGTCTTTCTGTGATTTTTTTTCTTACTGGCTATACGAGAGTAGAATCACAAATTAATGAGTTAGATATAAATATAGCTGTTCTCCTTGTTTCTTAAAGCTTTTAGAGTACATGTGAGTGCACTGAGCAGTACCAGAACTCTCCTGAAAATGGAATACAGATGGACTCAAACTTTGTTCTGTTTTCAAACACTTGTTAAAAATAACTTTCTCTGTAATCCTTCCCTGGTGATACAAATAGTTGGCTTCAGTATGTTTTCCAGGTTTTGTTTTCTTGCAGTTAAGACCATTCTCCTTATTTTGACTTTTTTTTTTAAACCTGAATATACAATTCTTTAAAGACAAACATCAGTTCTGTATACATAGTGAATTTAGAAAAGCAATTGTGATGAAGACTTGCATGCACTGGAGATTTCTAAGGTCATCAAAACACTTCTTACCAAGAAAATCATTTTAAAACTAGCAAATGTATGTCTCATTGATACCAAAACTGTATTCACTTTTTCCCCTCTGATATTTACCCTTTCATTTATCAAAAACTTTGAGTTACCTTGCACTTCACTGATACAAAAATCTGATATATATGTGGTAAGATCACTCTTACTTTGATTTGTCTGAACTATAATATATTTATAAGGACATGAGTTGGTTTGATCAGGTGAGCTCCTGTTTAAAGCTCTAGAAATATCTTTGTATCTGAAGAAGTGAGAGGAAGGGGCAAAGTTGCATCTCTCTGTATGTTTGCACATACTAATGAGCAAATGGGCTCCGTGCCATTCACTGACTAGTGTGGTCATCTTTCATTTCATAAATTACTATGCAGTTTTGTTCACTGTGAGTATAATCTGTATTTAGTGATCGCAAGATGCTTATGCCACTGATTTCCGTTCCATCCAAGCTGACAGAAGAAATTTGATAATGCACATACTGGTATCTTTAATTGCAAAAATGTAAATTTGAAACTTGTATAATGTTCTTGTGCTTTTGAAATAAAATATCTTGTATATGTATATTTAAAAAAGGAAATAAAGTAACTTCTCTTAGATTATTCAATTTTTATTTGGAGACACTTTGACACTTCACAGCTGATCTAACAGGAGCGTTATAGCAGGGTCAGCATGGAAAAAGGGAAGAGTTATTAAATGACTAGTAAAACCATATGAGTTATCACTGTAGTCCATATCATCATTGTACCAGTGAGTACTAGTGGAATGATTTTTCTAATTTAAATAAATATTCCACTTGAAACTTGTCCTAGTATTTCAAAGATGCAGCCTCCTGCAGTGTCTCTCTGTTTTTAAAAGAAGTCTTCAGTACATAATGCAATATTCAGATGGCCTTTTACTGATTGGTTAGTGATTCTGGTTTCATAGCTTCTCAAAGACAAACTTGCTGCATAGTCTGGCAGATACTTAACTTCTTGAAAGTAGAAGTTTGTATTTTGTCTAGTGTTCTGTGTGATACATATGGAGAAAAAAAGCTTTAGTCCAGTGCTACACAGACAGACAAAATCTTACATGTAAGAGGTAAGAAGTACTGGGTAATTCTGTATTTTAAAAGCTGCTGGCTGGTATTTCTTTTGTTGTAGCTTCAGGCACCATTAAGCTTGCAGTGTTTGAGTATTAATTCTGTTGCTCTCTGTGCTTCTTCTTAATTTTTAGGAATTAACCCCTGAAAAGCTCAAAGGTAGGTGAAGTATACTAGCAGAACTGTTCTGAAAAAAAATTCAAACAAGAAGCACATTAGTTAAGAAAAAAGAAAAGCCACAACACCATTTCTCTAAAAGATTCTTAGAGAATTAAGAGAACTATTAAAATTATGTGTAGGAAGATTTCAGCCATCATGCGCTTTCATCAGAGATGAAGGTTGTTCCATTTCTGTGGCACAATCCTAATAAATTTTAATTATTTTTTTATCCATGTTTAGCAGACAGAGGCTAAGTTTTTTTTTTTTTTTTTTTTTTTTTTTTTTTGATACAGAAAACAAATGGACAACAATGAAAATTGACTCCTGCATAAGTCTCTTGAATCCAGTCATTTCTAGTCCTAGCTACATCTCTCTAAGCTTGTATTGTTGAAAGTGTAGATTAAAGAGGAGCTGTCATGGAACATTGCAAGAGAGGGCAAGCTGAAACTTAGAGGGATTATATGCATTATTCATTGCAATGGTGAGTAAGAGGAGAGGTCAGGTATGAGGTTAAATTGAAACATCAAAACTTGAGTTTGCTCTTGAGTACAATGCCAAGAAAAACAAGACTCTAGTTTGTATAACTACAGGTTGTTAAACAACTTCGAATCTATTAGACTTCAGAGGTTTCTGGGAATCATGTTTGAATGAATGAGCCTGCATAACACATTTTGAAGTAGGTACTGGGGCTGTGAATTTGATGAATATTTCAAGTCCTTGCTTTATCTGTGAGGAGCTGTGGCTGGGCTTTTTCAGCAGACTACAGAATATAACATATCCATTCTCCTAAAAATACCTGAAATGCAATAGAAACGTAGTAGAAATGCTCTTTAGGTACAGGTATTGAGAGAGTCTAGCGCTTGGAGAAAGACCATCCCAATCCACCTTAACTTCTGCTTGGAGGTTTTGCTGAACATACTGTGGCAGCCTGAGAAATCCATCATAGATGATATAAAAAAAAAAAAGACTCCAAACCTCTTTCATCCACTTTTTCTTTCTGTGAGTCATGCTTTTATGAGAAGTTACAAAACCTAAGTATTTCTGTCTTGTGATATTTTCCCTATTCAGACTTACATGGAACTTCCCTGGGCAGTTGAATTTACCCAGACAGACTGTGCACAACAGAGTGACTCCAGGCAGTCTACCTCTGTTACTTGGCATGCGGGAGCAGAGCAGGACAAGAGCATCCATTTAAGTGATAGTCTCCTCATAGCAAATAAGGACTCTACCTAGGTTACGTGAGCTTCATGCCTCTATGATTCTTGTCTAAACTACAGACTTCCCTATGCAGAGTCTAAACTGTTGCCACAGCTGGAAACTGATAGCAGCAAATGTGTACCAAATAATTTGTCAGATTTTAAATATCATGGATTGTGTTGTAGACAACTGTATGATCCATATACCAGTTAAAAAAACAGTTTGCAGAAGGGAGGCTTCCAGCTTTTAAGGAAATGTACTGTTTTCATTTACTTTGATACAATGAAATTCTAAATACGCTGCATTCATATATTATTCATTATATTTTTTTATGATCAATGTAAAGCAAGCGTCTTCACTGATAATCAAAGCTTTAAGGGAGCATCGTAACTGCAATTTCTACAGGAACTGTCATAGTGTTTTCACCAGAAACTGAACGTATTTCTTATGAAGAAATTCATAAAGATGATAGTTTTATATAGAGGTGAGTTCCTTGCTGTGGAAATTGCTGGAGCTTGTTGCACAAATGTATTGTTATTATTTCTGACTGGATTAAGCATTGATAACAAATAGGATAAGAAGTGTCCCACAAATCGTATTTATTTCTGTATCTGAGCAGATGCTTCGGCTTACAGGCTTTGCTTGCTAATGCCATCTTTGTCTTTATAAACTGCAGAGAATTAAAGACAGAGTCTGTGCTGCTACCTGAGTTTATTTTCTGGATACAGTGGCTGTAATTTTAAACACTCCAGGAAACCCAAATGATTATGACAGCTGCTATAAAGCAAGTTAGATATTTAGCATGCACTTTTGCTGAGGAAAATGATACATAGAAAGCAAAGAAGAAAGCACTTATTTTAGCACTTATATTGAAGTAACAATAATCAGTCAATATTGCTGAGGTTTTCAAATTGATAGATTTAATTTGTCTTCAGTTCTGTGAAATGAGCTGTTATCCTTTCATAATACATCTGTGTCTGTGGACTCTAAATACCTAGGCAGCATAGAAATGAGCAGTCTAATGTCTAAGTAATTACTAGTAATAATCAGTAATAAGACAGCAACTGTTCCCTGTGAAATACATCCTGATACTCAGTTAATTTCATAAATTTTCATACAGCCAGTCATTTCATCAGCTTTTGCAGTTCTCTGAGAGAGAAAGGTTAACGTAGCAAATATTACTTAGTTTTTTATTGTAAAATGTGTTCTCTTCATATGAAAGTAAATGTGTGTGGACCAGGGGAGATGTGTAGCCAGGTATTTATACCACTGCTGTTCATGCTAATGTGTTACAGCACTTGCTGCATTAAATGTGTCATTTTATAGAGATACTCAGTCTAGATAATCATTTTAATTCACTCTTCTTATGAATCTATTTTTCAGAGCAGATTCTTGACAAATAGGGACCTCCACTAGAGAGTTATCAAAGGAGTAAGCTCACAGCTGTTATAATTCTGCAAGCTAAATAGACAATCTAGAGAGATTTTAAATGGCACAGGATGTCAAGTTTCATCTGCTTCCACAGGTAAATGTGCTTTTTCCACCAGGAAAATTTTCCTAAGATACAGAGTATTATTTTAAAATAACATGCTTTTATTTCCTGTCTTAAAACTATTTTCATCAAGCTGAACCATTTCTCACTTTATTTTTAAAGTATTTTATTTTTTTATTATTCCTACTTAGTCTTTTTGAATCAAATTTTCCTAAAGAAAACAAATCTTATTTGTTTTTCTTTTTTTCTTCTCTGAGCTATTTCTGATTATCTTACACCATTTGTTTATTAAGCAGTCTAGAGCTGCTTTTCCAAATGTAGATGGACTGAAATCATACTAAGGAAATGACTGCTATTGACTGAAGCATGTGGCACTTTGCTGATCTGAAAAAAAAAAAAGCGTTTTTATCATCTTCCATTGAAAAGTCTGTCTAATTTGCAGTCTAATATGACTACCTTTTCTTGTGGTCCCTCAAAGTACTGACTTTTTCTATGTTAATTCTTTTCCAGTATTGTATCGGCTAATTTTAGTGCTTCTAGTAAGGCTCAGGAAGCTGTTGTGCTCAGTGTTCTGCAGCAACAAGAGACCACACCTGCTTCCTTTTGGATTGCATTTCCCAGAGCCACTGATGTTGATTTCCTTTCATGTTCTAGAAAGAAACAGGAGTTCTAAACATGAGACAAATAATATTCTTTTTAGAACATGAGACAGATGGGTTTCTCTTAGTTGAATGAGAAATAAAAGCCAGAAAAAAACAAAAATAACAATCTTACAATATAGCTCTTTGAAATTTTACCATTATCACATTGAAAGATAGGAAAGAAAGGGAAAGAAAGGGGGTCAGGATCGAGCCTAAGGACATTAGGTAGTCTTAGAAACAACACAACAGACTGGTGTGGAAATAATATTTTTGGCTCTCAGAAATAGTTGAAGGAGTGATACACCAGCTTATGCAAAAACTGACATCTCACAATAGGGCTTTATATTAGTATCAAAATTCTCTTAACGTTTTCACAGAACTATACATAAAAATACTATCTCAGTGCTCAAACAGTCAACAAAAGCAAGAAATAATGGGAAATCTTAGGAAAAGCACAGAAGACCTATTTAATGCATAACGTCCCCAGTTATACGCATGCAGTGTTACTTGTTTAAAACTAATTAATGGAGAAGAGTTACAAGAACTGTCAAAGGTAATTTCCATAGAATAAAAGATTTAATCTTTTATTCTTAAATATCAGCTTCTTCCACTTAGAAAGGTATGACCAAGAGAGATTATAATAGAGGATAGTAAAATCAGGAATGGCATGGAGGAAAAAAATACAGAATGACTATTGGTTGCATCTTACAGCAAGATTTAGGGGATACCTATTAAGTTGTCACAGAGTCAACAAGCAAAGATAATCACTTTTTCAAGAAATGCAGAATCAAATTGTACGAAACTAAAATTTCAAGCTCATTGATGTATTTTGGACATCAAAACCATGAATGGGTTAAAAAAAAAAAGCTATACAAATTCATAAGAAAAGTCTGTAGAGAGCTATTAAAACACATTGATAGATATATAATGTTTGTCAAACGAAGCTCACAAACTGCTGTTTCCAGGAAGTTAGGAGACTGTCAGAGAGAACTATTTTCTAACAGTCTTGCTTCTCATGTGCCTTTTGCAAAACCTTTGCTATGGGTTACTACTACAGACAGAACCTATCTGTCCATTTTTATTTTTAACAAACTTAAATATAGGCCTAAATTTTTTCAGCAGCGATGTGACTGCATTTGGAATAACAATCATGCGTATAGCTTGCTTGACTTACAGTATAGATTTTTCCATTACACTGTTTATTTACAATATATTCTTAAAGCATTATTCTAGTGTCACAGAAAACAACAACGTTTGGACAGGTAAAGGAATTTTTACTGTTATTTTTGTATGATTGCAAAAGCAAAGTAGTTCTGCTTTGAGTATCACTGTGACAGGATAACTCCTTTTACTTCATTATATACAAAAAATGCATGAGCTTTCCAAAGTTATATTCAAGCAATGTATTATTCACAACAGTTAGCAAGAAATATTTTTTATATGGTCTTCTATCCTCTGTCCTGTATGTTTTTTCTGCTTACAATCATACCATTAATGATGAATTAGTCATATGATATCCTGTAACTACAAGTATAGAAATGCTTTTGCTGCATACACGGACATAAAAAACTTCGAGTGCTATCCTTGGAACACGATGGGAGAGCTTTCAATCTGTCTTTGTCTTTGTTGGTTCCAAATAATCTGTGTTTGAGCCTATGGATCTATGTAACTACTTTTGAAATTGAACTCTTTAATCATCAGGGATCATTAGCATTTGTTTTGTATCAGGTATTTGCTCTTCTTTAAATGTGTGTTAGCACATTGTACTTGGAATTTTCATAAACTTAGCATGAGCTGTCAATTAGTTTTCTTGAGCAGAGGGAACTAGCTCTCTTAGAAGCACCCACTAGCTTTCTGGGGATGTATGGCAGTTGGCTTTCTCTAAACTATAGGGAAAAATTAAGAAGTACTTCATTTATTTTTATTTTTATTTTTATTTTTTTTAAGTCAAATACAGTCTACTAACTAACTTAAATTGGCTTTAACTCAATTTCACTTAGCTATTAAGTTTTTAGAAGGGCAACAACGTACATGTATTTGTATCCTAATATGGACTTTTTAAACACAGTTTTCATTTTAAAGTTTTTGCTATTTTAAAGAATCTCTTTTTATCCAATGTAGTAATTTCTTTTGAAATTTCCCTGCTGCTGGGATTTCAATAGAGGTGTCATTAATGACAAACTTTGTTGATATAAAGTAGACCAATCCTATGTGGAACAGTCTGATATCCAAACTGATAGTCTTTTTTGTGCATAATCATTATTCTGACATATTCAGATGACAGAAATATCTAAGTTGGAAGAGACAAAGTGGGAAAATTTCAAAAGATTGTTTTGTGAAGGTATGAAAATCAGGGATTTCACAAGAGAAAATACACCTGGCCAAAGAAGTATCAGTATTTTGTTCCTATGACCAGTTTATCTTCTTGTCAGTTGTCATACCACTTTTTCTCTTTTCCCCACAAGTAAAACAAAACAAAATGAACGAACAAACAAAAAAAAAACCCTTGTATCAAAGGTTGTAATACAGCAAAGAAACACTTGTGACATGATTTCTCTGAATGGATTGTCTAGCTAGCTTCAGGGATAGATTTTGTTGCAACATCGTTTTTGCCACAGTTTGTGTTTTGAACATCAATGTTGGGATCATTCAGGCCTGAGACAGTGGAGATCTGGTTGGCTTTGCCAAGGTTCTTAATGATATTAATGTTGTATTTGGCCGTTTCCACAAAACTGTTTTCTAGTAACCAACCATCGGATTCACCCTCCAGGTCTCCTAGCAAAAGAACATTCTTCATTGCTGTTTGTAGGTACCGGACACCAGTAAGTACAGAGAGCTGTAAGAAAACATCAGTGGTTAAACAGAGCTTAAGTTACAGCCTTGATCCTACCACAAAGTCTGCTTTCTGACTTGTGTATTTACAGGCCAATTATTTAATATTGAGTGAAATAAATACATTCTTTATCCCAGCGTTAGAGCTAACCAATCTCACAGTTAATTATGTATTTTAGAATGAAAAATACCATGTAGAGGTTTTTTTCTTTCCATTCTTCAGGTACCATTCCCACTTGCATGTTATTAGTGTATAAATACCTAGAAATACATCGGAATGCTGCAGGCTCAGAGACTAGTCATAAAATGAATGATCACTTAATGGAGCCATCGGTGATTAGGGAGGGGAGGTGTTACAAAAAACAAAAATTTTTCTGTTCATTTCTATGGAACTTTTTCTACTGACCTTCATTAAATCAGTATTGCCTTCAAGGTTTTTAATCATTCCTGCGTAAGCTATATGTGTCCAACATGCTAATGCATAAATGAAGAAGGATGCCCTACAGAAGAGGCTCAAGTATAAGTTTAGGGAAGAGCTGTGCTTTCAGTGTGCTCAGCTTGTCAACACTGAAAGGAGCACAGAGCAGGCTTGCAGCTTTTTCCTGTGCTGCCAAATATCTCTTGTTTTTGCCATCACCACCCAATCCAGCACTGCCTAAGGACTATTGTGGCAAACTATTTTAAATAGCATTAATATTTATGCAATAGAGTAATAATCAGGAAAATCTAACTATTATTAAAAATAGAAGAAACAGTATTTTAGCCTATGCCATTGGGGTTATCTGCATTGCGTGCAGATTACAATATCCAGACAGCTTTTTTTTTTTTTTTTTACGGCTGTCAATAGAAAGACTGCACCTTTGAAGGTGTGTATGCTTGCTTGTGATATGCTAATTTGGACTGCATAACAAGCAATCTGATCTGTATCTAAAATGTATCCCATGTTTGCAAGTACTGTTTATATGGTAAAGCAATGTAATATAGAAAGGAGGCTTTGAGATGTTAATATTTATGCGTAATTCTTACTGTAAATAAAATTCATGTATTCACCAAAGGCCTGCCTCACATTTCTGATATTCTTTTCTAAAACTGCCTCAAAACAACCTTATGCCTTCCACCTAATTTCCTTGCTGTTGTGTTACTGCATGTGCTATCTTGCATCTGGTCCTGTAAATGCTTCAGGAAAGTCAATGTGCCATAGTCTGTTGAAAAAAGCTCTGTAAACATACAGAATCACGTTAATCGTTTCTAATAGTTCTCATCTTCAATAGATTCGCTTCTACTCTGGTCTTTGAGAAACTGTACTAGAGAAAGCTCTGCAACACTCCTGAAGTGCTGATGGACTTGTTCTAGATACTGAGGTGCTTCTCACACTCGTCATACCATAGTTGTGGTATAATTATGGTATAACACCATTGTTATTTCCCATCCCAGAAAGCAAGCATGTCCGATGCATCTGACACAGACTGTTTTTATAAAACTTACCTCAAACAACCAAATAAGCAATGCTGCAATACCAATGGATCTCATAATAGCTGTGTAGTAATCCAGCAGGGCCTCTCTGCACCCCTTCACCCAGATATTGAGCTCCTCTGTCAGGAAATCATAATTGTAGTGAGCACTGTTGTTTGTCAGCTGGTACTGGATACAGGGCCGTGGGGAACTTGGATTGCAGCAGCTGAAGGGTACTCCATCCACCAAGAACTTCCCATCAACATTACTCTTTAGACGGCTGCAACAGGACAGAAAGTTTGGGCATTAAAAATCTGGTAGCAGCAGCAGAATGTGTCCATATTTTTTCTAAAAGGATGTAATGAAAGTCAGCTGCAATGCGGGCCTCTCCAATGTAACAGAAGGAAAATGAGAATGTATCTGCAACTGGAAATGTTGCTCACTGCAGGAAAACTAAATTTTTTGTTTGCAGTATTTTTATGTGTGGGATCAGTGCAGTATCTCTTGATTTTTGGTATTGTATGTGTAAGTTGCAGATTTGTTGTTTATGGAGATGATGTCTTTTTAGACATATTTCCGCTGAGAATATTAAAGACAATTTTAGAATTTGTCTGTCTTGGCAAAACATTAATGGAAGTTACAGTCCTTGAAACCCTGTGTCTTTACTTCTGGCTTGATTCTGACTGCAAACATTTCGAAAGAGAAGCTAATGCAAGAACAATTATACATGCCACAGGAATCACTAGAGAATCACTAGAAATTGTCCACTGGCTAGAATATATGAAAGACAACCTAATCCCAGATACCCAGCTTTCACTATTTCCTAATAGAATTTTTAATGTTTTGCAAGACATCCTCAGTTGTTAATCTTAATTTCCTTTTCTGATACAGATATCCAAAATTAAAGGGAAGGAAGGCATCACAGAAGCTGTTCAGGTAAACAAGAAGCAATGATCACTGTGGTACAGTGTTTTTCCAGCATTTGAGGACTAAATGCATCCTTCAAAAGAAACATAAGCTGAAAAGAATATTAGAATTTGTGGCTGTCCTGAGATGGCAGAATAATCACCTTCACTTTATTGCTGTGGGCCTTCTCTCTCTCATTTTTGTTTGGTGTAATTTTCTGTCAAGAATATTTTCTTCAAAGATATTTCCAAATAAATAAAGATCTGCTGTTTCCCACCTAGGAGAAAGTTAGGCATTAATTCCTCCATATTTTTAATGTCTAGCTCTTCACTTTGTGGCCTGGTAACAGCAACTGGAGGAAAAAAAAAAAAAAAGCCCATATAGTCCACAGAAAGCAGAATTAAGTATGCCCCCCTTGCCCTTTTGTTTGGAACGAGACATTAACCACTATTCATTGCTGTAATTCAGATATGGCATTGTAAAGCAGAACTTGCTTATGAGACTATATAAAAAAGATGTTTTTTATCTAACTAAAGCAATGATAGGATTGTGCTGCCGTAAACTGCTTCATCCTCATACCATTTCCATTGACTGACTCAATTTCTTGTGACGCTGTGATGTTGGTAATGCAGAAATACAAGAGGAGAGGGAAGAGGATTATGAAAGAAGGTGAAAAGTTCAGTTCTGCAGAGATTCCTTTTGAGTTAAGTATGAATTTTCAGCTTTGCCTAGTAATCTACAAAGTACTAATTGACATACAGTACAAGATGAAACCAAGAAAAATACTTGGTTTCTTCTGCTTCCTTTCAGAATGTTACAAGCTGGACTTTGATCCTAGTGGTTTCATATGAAATGTTTTACTACTAGATTTTGGAAATCATAGTATAATTTGGTTACATAGCACCAATGTTGATTTTAGTAATCAAGATGGGATTATCTAGTTTATATGCAGTAAAAGAAATTCTGCAGTATAATTATTTCCTTCACATATTTTTCCATGATGTCTTCTGTCTGTATGGGGCAAAAAATAAACGACTGTATTTCCAAAATGAAGGCAGAGCACAGGAGACCCTGCAGATGAAATCTATGTTTAAGACCCATGGCAAAACATTGCTGTTTCTACGTGGCTCACAGAAATACAAGGTAATACATTTTACCTTTGTACTTACAGTAGGATACTACTGTAATAGTGGTCTAGAAAAAGTGTCACTTCTGCTATTAACTTCTGCTATTATTTACTAAAAGTTGTTGCATTAATTAAAGCACCAGAGTGTGAACATGCCTATGATCACAGAAACGTTAGCTCTTGTTGAGGTAGCCCTGTTAGCAGTCATTCAGAATGATCTTTGAGAAGAGTCTTCTAGCCACAGGGTGTCATTTTAGTAAGGAGGAAAAAACACTGCTTGAATTTTTGGCAGCTGGCAGAAAACAAGCAGTCTTGTATTCTCTTTAAAGTCGATATGTCTCAAGTTCTTCTGACACTACTGTTACGTACTTTCTGTTCAATACAAATTCGTGTTGAAGGAATTTTTTTTTTCCCTAGAATTTTCCATCAAGACTAGTAAATACTTACTCCATAACTTCCTTGGAAGCCATATTCAGGTAACGAGCAGATACCCACTGAACTTCAAACCAGTCTCTAAAGCCATTGTTTCCACAGCACTGGAATCCAATTTGCAACATATCCACTGTTTTCTTTAAGAAACATCTTCCAGGTATGTCAGTGTCCTTATAGAACTTAATAGCATCCCTCAATCCCAGATAGAGAGATTCTTCCAGTTCATTCCTCATGGTATAGCACATGAGAGCACCCATCAGGATGCAGAAGGTAAAACAGAAGGTACACACAATATATGGGAGCATAACTAGTTTCCATCGAGAGAACTTGTTGGCATCTGAGCAGTCATAGCAGATTTTGCCACCCAGAAAGTTGATGATACATGCTATGACCCCTACAGAGATCAGCATGTTGGGGACAGAGTTAATGTCTCCTTTTGCCATCACTTCGTTGCGCTTCTTGATCTCTATTTTCAGAAAGAGGCCAAGACTGAAGAGAATGATCCCACTCACTACAGAAACCCAGTTGAGGATCCATAGGATCTGAGCCAATTTGTCCCTCTTAGTTTTGGTGAATTTTACTTTGAGGACAGCCATAGTCAGATCAGCATTAGGAAAAGAAGCGTAGGTCAAGGAAAGCCCGTAATCTGCTTAGGAGCATGTATCCAAGGCATGCAGTAGAAATCTGAAGAAGAGAGAGAGAGATTACTGTCTGTTTGACTGAGTATTTATAGAGCCTACAGAGAACTTCCTGTACAGCCTCATGCACTCTGAGATATGCCAAGAGTGTGTTCCACATCTTGCTTAAGTTTCATACAACATCAGTCTCTTAGAAAAATAATTCTAAGAGCTGACTGTAGCAATTAAAAAACAAGTGAACCATAGGACTAATGAACTCTGCCCTCCTATGGACTTCTGTCTAAAGAGCAACTTTCTGTACGAATTTTAAGACATCTAAAAGTGAGCTAGTCTGCTGTCTTTCTCTTCTTCTCGTTGCTGGTATTTTCTTGATGATTCTAGGAATTTATCATTTGTAGACTAGTGTGTCCTGGTCATATTTAAGTTTAAAAGCTGCTAAGCTGAACAAGCAAATTCAGCATAACCACATAACACTTTTTTCAGGGAGTCTGCGGGGGGGGGGAGGGGGAATAGCACCAGAAACACAGTATCTTATGTGTGTTTTTAGACATTTCATCATCTATCTTATTTTCCCCAGCTATTAGCCAACCTAAGAAACCATCTTTCCCAACATTTTATCTTACTTTTGTATCATACGGTTTCTGCAAGACTACTACTAACTTTTCTTTTGCGCCTATTCAATTATATCAAAGTCAAAGGTAGATGCAACTAATAACTGCTTTACATCCAAGATATAAAACCTGTTAGTGCTAGAGACAATGCATTTTCAGTCCACATGATGTGGATTTAGAACTATGCTGCAGTACCTCAGGATCAAGTGATGAACTTCTACCCTTCTTCACAGCTTCTGATGCTTTGCAATTGCCTTTCCTTAACGCATGCAAGAAAATGGAGCTCAACATTCTGTACTCCCCCCCAAAATTGCTCTCAGCATGGCTGTGTTATTTGGTAATTTTCATTACAGTGATTTTATATTATACAAATGTACATATTTATATGATTATACACTCATCTTTGTGGATCTAGTTCTACTAATACAATGATAAAAATAGTAAAACATAATCCTGTAAATGTGGGGAAAGGAAGTATAGGTAGCTTTATTCATGCATAGTTGCTTTAAAGCTAGTAGGCTCTACTACTTAACTTCACCTAATTAAAACTGGTATCAGCTAAAACAGCATGAAAAGTACCCACAGACAAAACTTCCAGAAGAATAGCTGCATGCTACCCACTAAAGGATCCACAGGTGCAATGAGGCTTAACATTAGGTAAGCAGATTCCTGTAGAGTGCAGTTAAAAAAGGTAATTATATCCTGGTGTCTTCATCTGTATATGCTGGAACAAATCAGTTCTGTTTGGACAGGTGAGGAATAGGTTGTTCTTCTATTCAGATTAGGATATGGATAGATATCTTCATGTATTTGATTATTCAAACAGTTGAATGCCTATGAGATCTGAATCATTCACATTGCGTTAATTTTATGTTGCATTCAGAGAGGAAATTGATTCCCTTTAAAATTACTCACTTCTGCTTGTCTTTTACATAATACACAGAATGTCCAACATACGTGGTATTTTTCCTTTCTGGCCTTATTTTCAAAGGTGCTGAGACCAGTGGCACTTTTTGAGTTGAAATACAGGGGCCTAATTTTAATGATTAAGGCCGATTATCGGTTATGGTTGAATGTTGATTGTGATCATATTGTGATAACCATTTTGATTAACATAATTAAATACTAATTTCTGATAAACACCTCTGTACAAAGAAGTCCAGAGAGCAGTCATAAAATGACAACACTTTCTTCGCACTGTTCTTCTATTGTATGCTTCAGCCCTCTTTCAAAAGGATCGTGCTCTGCTGGTAGAGAATTAAGCCTCCATAAGAATTCAGCTGACAGCCTGTCTGCTAAGCCCGGAGACAGTAGCTTTGATTGCTTCACCAGTTAAGCAGTTCATGACTTGAACTTAAATAGCTGTAGATGGCTGCTGCAAATAAGTTTTTTTTTTTTGTTTTTTTGTTTTTTTTTTTTTGTTGCTCTTGATACTCAGGTCTCAGAGCATGCAATGGAAAGAATCTGTTACTGTGAAATTACTGATACACAGTTCACATTCAAGGGCTAGCATATACATCACTCTTTGTTTCTGTGAAATGTACGTATATATTTGCCTTTAAATTCTTAGGCATATTTGTAGATAAGTGTCACTGAGAATCACACCGAATGACACCAACTCGGTGAATGTCTTTTGCTTTAACATTTGTACAAAATTTGTAGACAGGCCAATCTTCACTTAAAAATCATCTACTAAGGAGGCACTTGACATTAGAAGATATAAACTTGAGGCTTCATGTTGTATTATTCTAGCCATGAAGAAATTTGAGGCTGAATTTCATAAACAGTGATACAGTCAGTCTTGTGTAGTTATTCTGGTATAGATCCCTCCACCATTCTCAGATGCCTAATCTTAAAACATGAAACTTCTCTGTGCAAGAACAACTCTCCTAGTAAATCCTTGCCTCTGACAATTCTCAAATGCTATTTCTAGCTTCTTTGATGCAATTTTATTTACAAGACCAGCTTCATGCAGTATTCACATTCATCTACAACAGAGGTACCCACACCACAGACTTCCAGCAGTAGAACATCTGCCTAGCACAAGCTATTTTGTATGAGCTATGCTGACAGAGGAAAGCAGAGGAATAACTGGTTGCTGTAGTGGAGCAATCACTCCTTGACTGACCCTACAAAGATTGCACAAAGAATCTTTAGGATAAATGCTTGAACAATGTTAAATGCATCGAGTCTGGGATAGAAGAACAATTAATCTAATCTGTTCCTGAGGAATTAGTCTCTGGGAAACACTAGGCAGAAGATCCAGTCTTCCCAGCTTCTATGTGAGTATTTCTCCTAAGATAACTTTTTTACAGTAATAATTTATTGAGTTTATTTCAGATAACATGAAAACCCTCTTCCCCTTATAACAAATTCTGTAAATATACCATATGTTATTCATTCCCTAACTGTTCAGTGAAGCGTTGAAAATATTTATTCAACACTGCCATGTAGTAGCGATTTTGAGCACTATGAAGAAAGGTCTTCCATCTGGAAAAACTGAAGCGCAATTTTGAGCTAAAAGTGTCATTGTCTTACTCTGCAGGCTGTATATATTCTTTTTCAAGTTATATTTGTGACTGGGATTACTATAAAACCGCAAATGCTCCTAGTAGTTGAGTGAAACTAATCCCCCCCCAAGTTCTTGGAAACACACCCCACACATGAGCCACTCCAGTGTTACAAAGCATACACATATAGGCTTCCCCTCCACCCCCAGCAATGGGAAAGAATGCTGGATTTTATTTCTTTGAACAGAAGAAGCCCAATATATGTGAAAATCTTTCCCATATTATCCATATTGTTCTTGAGCTTTTCTTGGCTAACTTTGAACACAGGGCTTCCCTCAGCATACTTGTAGCTTTTTGCTTTCAAGATGCCACTTATCATTTCCTTTGCTGTCAAATATCCCCAACTACATAGAAAAAGACTTGTCACACAGCTATTTATTTGTTTATAAAATTACTTATTGGATGCAAATTATCCCCCAAAAATTAGCTTGCAGTTTTGTCATAAACAACCTATATCTTATCTCACCAGCTTCAACAAAATTTGCCCTTTTAGCTGGACACACGTTCTTATCTGTAACTTATTGTAAAAGACACTACTAACCTGCTTCAGAGGACAGAATGAGATCTCAAAACTGGCACCTTGCTGAATACAAGGCAGAAAATACCAGGAACAGGCATTCCGAGGAAGAGCGAAGTACTGATTTCCTGATGTCCGTGTAGTTCTGTCTTTACACTGACTCACCAATGGAGATGGAGAAAAAGGCTTCAACTCTCCTGCCTGCGCTAATCTCTCCTGCATCTCTAATCGTATTTCGAGGTTCTTATGCCACCAGGTTAAATCCTGCAAAACAGGCCAATTAACTGAGTGTGAATTGAGACCTCACTAGCAAAATGGATTTAAGTTAACATATCTTACCCCTCAGGGGCTTGGGCTAGTAATCAACAGAGGCTGTTCTACAGTATCTCCTAATGTTGTATTAGTTCTTTTTTTGTTCTTATCAATAAATACAGGTCCAAGAGAGAGAATAATGTAACTGTGGTTCTGGGGAAGGGAAGAGCCATCTTAGGCAACCACCTTTGTATGCATCAGTATTATCATGCTTATTGTCAGGGAAAGGTGGAAGACTAGTTATCAATGCAACTTGGTTTATCAAAGTCTTGAGTAAAGCAGAGAGTGCTATATCGAACTACAATACTAATAACTACAACTCTCAAGAAGAAAAAGCAATTAAGATGTGAAGCTCCCAGCTAAAGGGAGCTTATAAAAAAAGATGGATGACGACTTTTTACACAGGCAGGTAGTGATAGAACAAGCAGAAACAAGATGATCAAATATACCCCAAGTGAACTGAATTTGTCCTGTGCACATGGATCATTCCTGGTTTGGACTTGTTGCACTTGTGCAGGCTGCAAGGAACGTATTACATCTGTTCAAATGTGCAGCATAATCACCAGATCTTATATAGTCCTTGTGGACAGCACAAGTACACAGATATATACATTGTCCTGGGATTTTTGAGCTATTGCTCTGGATGGATTATGTTGTATTAGAAATCCTGGACAAATGTGTGAAGCCCTATTTTCTGCCCAGACAAAATTTACATGTGGAAAAAAAACACATCTGTGGAACTGTAGACTTGTGTTTTCCCTGGGTCTTAGGTGACAACATTATTGCTTCAGATACCTACTAGTCAAGGAACGCATCTTACCTGTCCTCAGTATAAACCTACTACTTGCATGCATGAAAGCAAACAAGCAGAAGGTGGCAGTGCTGCTGTATGTAGTTTTTTCTACTATGCAAAGTAAGAAGCTTTTTCAAATTTGTGCTAGAGAGATGAGATTAGAGGTCACTCAACCAACTAATGGAAGCTCAGGAATGCATCATTGTAAGAAATAACTTCAATCCAATCTTAATGAAATTAGGGTTCAATGCTACTTGTATTTTTCATCCTGTCTCATATTGGGAAGTTGTTTCAGCTGTAAAGTTAATATTCAAAATTGAGTTACTGTTTTGTGGTCACCTATAACTAACCATAATGCACTTTATTACAGGCCTGCAGGGAAACCTGGACACCGAGACCACAACGAGAGCAGCATTTTGTAACCCAGTGGGTGAGGTTGTACATGTGGGTCCGCCAAATATCACCCAGTGGTGTAAAAAGAAAACACACACTTCCTACTAACAGTGGAGATTGGTGTACTGTGGTTTTGGATCTGAAAGAGGTAAATTTATTAAGTGTTTGGACAATTACTTACCTGCAGAGTATTATTCATATCTATGTCCACAAGGACAGATGTGTTACAAATTAGCCCAATTAAATGCTTTGTTGGGGTGATGCATGCAGTCAAATGGCATTTCA